GAGCATAACTTTGCTAGCATGTGAAATGAGTGCAATGGTGCGGTAGTTTGAACATTCTTTGGCATTGCCCTTCTTTGGGATGGGAATGTAAACTGACCTTTTCCAATCCTGTGGCCACTGTTGAGTTTTCCGAATTTGCTGGCATATTGAATGTAGTACTCTTATTGCATCGTCTTTTAGGATTTTGAATAGCTCAGCTGGAATACTGTCACCTCCACTAGCTTTGTTGTTGCTCAGACTTCCTAAGGCCCATTTGACTTCACATTCCAGGATGTCTGGCTCGAGGTCAGTGACCATCCCATCATGGTTATCAGGGATGTTAAGCTCTTTCTTGTATAATTCTTCTGTGTAATCTTGCCACCTCTTCTTAGTCTCTACTGCCTCTGTTAGTTCCCTGCCATTTCGGTCCTTTATCATGCCCATCTTTGCATGAAACGTTCCCTTCATATCTCCAATTTTCTTGAAGAGATCTCTGGTCCTCCCTATTCTATTGCTTCTGTTTCTTTACACTGTTCATTTAAGAAGGCATTCTTATCTCTTGTAGCTATTCTCTGGAATTCTGCATTCAGTTGGGTGTATCTTTCTCCTTCTCCCTTGCCTTTCACTTCCCTTCTTTCCTCAGCTATTTGTAAAGCTTCCTCAGACAGCCATTTTGCTTTCTTGCATTTCTTTTTCTTTGGGATGGTTTTAGTTGCTACCTCTTGTACAATGTTGTGAACCTCTGTCCATAGTTCTTCAGGCACTCTGTCTATCAGATCTTTAAAACTATTTGTCACCTCTACTGTATATTCATCAGGAATATGATTTAGGTCATGCATGAGTGGCCTAGTGCTTTTCTAAACTTTCTTTATTTTAAGCTAAATTTAGCAACAAGAAGCTTATGATCTGAGCCACAGTCACCTCTTGGTCTTGTTTTTACTGACTGTATAGAGCTTCTCCATCTTTGGCTGCAGAGCATGTAGTCAATTTGATTTCTGTGTTGACCATCTGGTGATGTCCATGTGTACCCTCGTCTCTCGGGTTGTTGGAAAAGAGTGTTTGCTATGACCATTGTATTCTCTTGACAAAATTCTACCAGCCTGTGCCCTGCTTCATTTTGTACTCCAAGGCCAATCTTGCCTGTTATTCCAGTTATCATTTGGCTTCCTACTTTAGCATTCCAATATCCCATGATGACCTTTTTTGGGTGTTAATTCTAGAAGGTGTTGTAGGCCTTCATAGAACCAGTCAACTTCAGCCTCTTCAGCACCAGTGGTTGGGGCACAGACTTGGACTACTGTGATGTTGAATGGTTTGCCTTGGATTCGAACTGAGATCATTCTGTCATTTTGGAGATTGTATCCCAGTACTGCTTTTCCTACTCTTTTACTGACTATGAAGGCTACTCCATTTCTTCTGAGGGATTCTTGCCTGCAGTAGTATACCTGATGGTCATCTGAATTAAATTCACCCATTCCTGTCCATTTTATTCACTGATTCCTATGATGTCGATGTTCAGTCTTATCATCTCTTGTTTGACCATGTCCAGCTTGCCTTGAGTCATAGATCTTACATTCCAGGTTCCTATGGAATATAGATATTTACAGTATCGAACTCTCCTTTCACCACCAGATACATCTGCAACTGAGTGTCCTTTCAGCTTTGACCCAGTCGCTTTATTCTTTTTGGCACAACTAGTACTAGCCCTCTGCTCTTCCCTAGTACCATATTGGACACCTTCCGACCTGCGGGGCTCATCTTCTGGCGTCATATCTTTTTCCTTTTGGTACTGTCCATGGAGTTTTCATGGCAAGGATACTGGAGTGGGTTGCCATTTCCTTCTCCAGTGGATCATGTTTTGCCAGAGCTCTCTGCTATGACCTGTCCATCTTGGGTGGCCCTGCACGGCTTAGCTCATAGCTTCCTTGAGCTACGTAAGCCCCTTCACCATGGCAAGGCAGTTATCCATGAAGGGGTTGCATTCATTAGTCAACAGAAATTCAGACAAAGTGACAAAGCTCATTTTTATTGTATAATGATAGGTTGCATAATCTTGGAAATGGGTGTGGTTTGACTAACATGATGAGACCTCCGATGCACACTTCTAAATTTGCCGCTGGACCACTGGCTGTCCCAACATGTGATGCTCCCTGGTATGTCGAGCCTTCCTGCAAGCTCGTCAACCAGCTATGCAGTGCTGTCTGCTGGGAGGGAAGATGCTAAGGGAAGAGCCCACCTCACCTACCCGAAGAGGTTACTGAGGGCAAGAACCTCAGGTCAGGTTCTGAATGTAGCATCCATTTGGCCCTTTCCTTTTCTCTGAATTATGTCTACTCCCCTGTATAGCCCAAAGTCAGACTATAGGGAGCTGGACAAGCAATTGTAGCTCTATAAATATCCTCCACAGATGTCCGACTGTGTCAGAATAAGGCATATATTCCTTTCTTTTTCCACAGTAAAGTTAGCAATCTGCAATTCTTCCAAGGTTGGTGTTGGAAAGGATGGAGCTGTGATCGTGAAGCCTTGCCTGCATTTGATGGGGACAAGCGGCCCTGTCCGAGGAAGCATCACCTATAAGTGTCACCATGCAAAATGGGATGTTGCTGAAAACAACTGCCTGACTGCTCCAGTTAATGACCTTCTCAGTTCTGCTGAGGTATTGCTGTCCATTCCTCTGTCCAGAGTCATGGGCTGTGTTTGCACTTCACACGAAACCACCCTGCAGATAAGCTGCACAAAGAGTAGGTGGTTCACAGAATAGCCTGCAGTGAGCCTGACAGATGAGCAGACTCAGTGTGGCTTGTTCTCTCCCTCAGCTCTCCAGCTGGTCTCCCAACGACCTCCTCAGCAGGGCCTGTCTTACACCCTGCCCCCCCCCACCCCCCGCCGGCTGCTCTCCCCTTTCATGCATAGCCAGGTCTTCCCCTTTGCCTGAACTTTAGAAGAGCACGATTGGGCTTGCATTTTTCAGCCTCTGAATGCTGCAGAACTGTTTTCGTAATTTTTAACTCTTTTCACACAAGGATGGAACTGCACACTTGTGCCTGTCTTGCATGGTCTTGCTTGGGCAATGTGTTTGTCTGCTTCAGCTGTCACAGGGAGCAGGGAAGCATTGTAGGTGACAGATTGACAAGGTGAGGTGGCATGCGTATAGGCAGCTGTATGCACAGTTGCTTGGAACTGATGGCCTTGCTGCCAACTGGAATGCACCGGGAAAGTGCTTTTTCCATTACCGCAGGTACACTAATTTCCCCTGCACTTATGGCCCTGCTTTTAAAATGGAGCGATTTCCCCCTCTACTTACTTCCCAACCATTGTGTTTGTGGGTATTTCCCATTCTGAAAATTGTGCAAATATTCCTGAGCCTTAAAACAAGCAAACTTTATTGATGGCAGAGCAAAATGGAGCAAATGAGACACCGGCACCAGCAGCAATAACCTATCCCCTCATGCAGTTCCAATTGCTCTATCCTCTATCCCACTTTTTTTTCCACTTGGGAAGATCCCAAGATGTAGCTCCATTTTATCCTCACAAAAACCCCGTGAGGTAGGGTAGGCTGGCCCAATGTCACCCAGTGAGTTCTAGGACTGAGCAGGGACCAAAACTGGGATCTCCCAGGTCTCCAGTCCAACGCTCTACCCAGCACGGTCAGGGTGGAGAGATGCCGGGAGCAGCAGGCCAAAGCATCTTCAGGGCTCAGTGAGGCCACCCCTGCTTTAGTTCTGCAGCCTGGTGGCTGGAGCCAAGTGCTCCTTGTGGCAAGGATGCTCTCCCCCTGGTTGTGACCACGCTCCCAGGAGGAAGGAGACGGTACAAACTCTCAGCGTCCCTCTGACTCAGTCTGCAGTCCAGCCCAATTGGCAGCTGGAGCAGAGTGAGCACACTGATCAGCTCCCTGCATGAAAAGCATGCTTGCGTACAGTCTTCATTTTAAGGCCCTCTGTGCATGACGGGCTACTTGTTCAAGGGGAGAGCCTCCTCTGTCTGTGCAGGCTCTCCTTGTGATTTTGAACGCTGCTTTTCCAGTCTTCTGGATTGTGCAGAGTCCCTCTGATACAGAAGGCTCTCTCCTTAACAAAGTTGGCTTCCATTCGTAGAGGGCTACAAGAGGGCTACATCCCTGGGCACATTACCCACCCACTGGAGGCTTAATCAACATCCTACTCAAGGCCGTCCCTTCCCTCACATGCCCTACCCAGGCCAAAGTAGGACCAGGTGCTCAGAGCTCCCACATCTTCTTCTGGAACTGGAAAACAGAGATATGAGAGGGACTGATGAGCCCAGGCATCCAAGTTGATGGTTGCTCTTCCTCTCCATGAGAATAGTCCAAGGCTAACCTGTCCAGTGATCCTGTTATCTCTGTGTGGACACAGCAGTGTCTGTTTTAGGTAGACATTTTGCTTGCTTGCTTCATTCTGCACTGATGTGCACAGAGGGTAGGTTCACATGTTACAACAGCCCACCCTGCAAAGAAGCCACTCAGAATGGGTTGTTTGACAGATTATCTGGCTCACTGCAGGTTGCCTTGCCCCTCCCACTCTGGCCCTCTCCAGGGTATCTGCAGCAGGACTGACTTGTCTCCTCGCCCCCTGCCACAGTTGTAAACCCTTTGGCGGTCAGTGCAGCTTATGTAGCATGTCAGTCCTATACAGAATTAGGTGTGGAGCACAAGGGAAGACAGAGCAAGGCTGGCTTATCACGAGGTACCTGCTATGCACAGATGGCGTTTCACATCACAGTTCTGAAGCAGTTCCAGTACGGGCAAGAAGTACATATAACATTCATTTGCACAGAACGGACCCACAGTGCTTCTTTGACTTCTGCTGTACCTGTAGTAAAGAATTGCAAACTTGAATAAAAAGTGGAACTGAGTGGCATCCATTTCCAAAGCAGAAGAACTTTGGGTACTTAATTACTCTTGCATGGTAGAATTCAGTCAAGCTCAACAAGTGAGAATCTCTGTGTTCTTCTTTATTTTATTTATTGATTGATTTATATCCTGCCTTTTTCCTACAAAGGGCTCAAGGCAGCTTACATCATTCTCCTCCTCCATCTTATCCCCACAACAACAACCCTGTGAGGTAGGTTGGGCTGAGAGTCTGTGACTGGCCCAAAGTCTCCCAGTTGGCTCCATGGCTGAGCGGGGACTAGAACCCAGATCGACTGAGTCCCAGTCCCATGCTCTTAAGCACGACACCACACTGGCTCTTTATGCATTTTATTTTTAATTATCAGATAATACAGTAATTTGAAGCAAATGTGCAATGCGAATAATTTGCATGTTCAGTTTTTTAATTGCCATTAAGTTCCCTTCTTTCATAGATGTGACCTTTTCCATATGGTTAGCACCTGTGCCATTGCCTTATTCTAGGTTGATGGCTGGTGACCATCCAAATGGTTGTACTGCCACTTCAGTCAGCTCCAGCCAACATAGCCAGTGGTGTTGGTCAGCCCTGGGAGTTCTGGGCCAAAACACCTGGAGGGCTGCAAGGGTATGCAGCTGGGCAGCCAGACCAAGAACACCGGTGGTGGTGGGGAGAGCAAAGGTTATGCCAGGGCTTATGATGAGGGTACTTCACATCTAGTTCGACCCTAAGATACAGCAAGAAAGGGATTAAGAGCAGCTCACCTACACTCTTAAGCAACCATCAATTTAGCCAGGATGGAACCAGGCGTATCAGCAAAACCTGTCCAGCATTTGCTTTCCCTGTTCAGCTGGACATAGATTTGGCACGTCAGTGAGCGGGGGACCTCCTCTGAAGGGAACCTGAGATGGAAGTGCAGCTCGCACTCATTCTCCCTCATTTCAAGAGCAGGTGCCCCTCTTCAATGTCTCTCTGTCCTGTGGTTGTCACATGGCATTGGAGCCCTGTCTGAAAAGGTGTGCCATCAGAAATGACCCCTGGGAAGCAAAATGACTGGCTGTGCTGTTCTTCTTCCCTTCCAGAATGGATTTCTCAACATTTTCCGCCTCTTTCCAGCTAGCCATCAGGGTTTTGGGTTGTTCGATTTGGTTGTTCAATTTGACAGGACGAGTCTGAAGTGCAATTTAATTATTTGACTCATGTGCCTTTCATTCTAGACCTTGGTGTCTGATCCTGAGTTAAACCAGAATCTACCCATGTACCTGGAACGCCTAAATAGGACTATCAAGGAGCAGCAGGAAAATATAAGCACTTCAACTGCAAACCTGAAGGCTGTGGTTGAAATCCTGAACTTGGTTTCAGTCATACCCATAGATGCAAAGCAGAAGCCAATGGAAGTAAGTTTACAAACAAGTTTGCAGGAATAGAGCTTTTTTTCTTTTCACCTGCAGTGAGGGGAACCAGATGGGCCATGAACAAAAGGATCATGATGTTACTGGTGGCATAACATTGTAAGAACATCAGAACTGGTTTGCTGTCATAGATCAAGGGTGGGAAAAGTGTGACCCTCCAGATGTTTTGACCTGCATCTCCCATAAGCCATCACCATTAGCTAGCTAGGGCTGATGGAAACTATTGTTCAAATCCTTTGGAGGGCCGCAAGTTGCCTACCCTGCTTTTGCTTCAGTCTTTTGCTTTCACAAGAGTTTACTGTTGGCTGTAGGTGCTCACAAAGAGGCTGTGCCTCTTGCTTACCTGAACATGCCATAAGCACACATGGCTTCTAATCATGGGTGCTATACTCTTCTTAGCAGCCATAATGTACATGGACAGCCATGCATGTTCCAAGAATTCATCTTCCTTTCCTTTTCTCAGACTGTCAGAATGAGCAACCATTAAAAGGGCATCATGAATTCCATTAAATAAGTGTGCAGCATGTAAGCCAACACTTAATTTTGCCTGAGTACTCCAGAGGCAAGCAGTCTGTGGTCCTCAGCCCCATTTTAGATGACCTCTGCAAGCAGTTGGTCCAGGCTTCTGGCAGGTGTGACCCGTCACTTTCTTGGAAGCATGTGGGGGGTGGGGGGGGAGGTGGGGAAGGGGAAGGGGAAGGGGAGGAAGGAAACCTGGGGTACAACAGAGAACACCCCTCAAACCCTGAAGAGTCTGCTGTTAAGTGTGTTTTCCACACATTAAAAAAGTCAAAAGTGTTCTGTAAAGTTGCAATCTGGCATGTACAGTTTACCCATGAAGGCCAGCATCCTTTCCAGATTGCAACTTTGAGACTTGTTGCTATTTTTTCAGATTAAAGGTGGGTGATAAGGAGAGCACCCTTTACAGTGGAATCCTGGGGTCTGTGGCGGGTAGACATGGGGGGATTTCACATAGTGAGGGCTGCCCTCACCTTCCTAGGGGTGCCTAACAGAGAAATATTTCTCATTAAAGTCAACCACTGCCAGAGCTAAATGGCTTGCAGTGGCTCAGGGGACATCTCAGGGCTCCTGTATTATCCACCACGATACTGCAGGAGGCCTGGGCAGGGGTGGGGGGAAGAGGAGGAGGAGGAGGCAGCACCAGCCCTGCTGTGCCTGGTCATCTGTCAGGCACAGAGGCATTGCAACCACAGTGCCTGGTTCAAGTTCCCACAGAGGTCAATGTGTTGTGCAAACCCATCCAGTGGTTGCTTAGCTGGATGCGTTAAGGCAAATCAGACTGTGATCAAGAATGGGGGTTGCTTAACCCTTTGTCTAATGAGGGTCATGCCCAAGGAGAGGCAGGGAGGGCAAAGCAAGGGGATCCCCATCTCAGCTGCACTGTGTACTGTTTCCCTGTTCCCGGGTACTGCAGGATCACTCGCTGGAGTCCCACAGATATAGACGTCCCCGTTGAGGGCAGATGCTGCACGGTCCTGTTAATCCTCTGGCTGCCATGGGGAAAGGGGGGACTTTTAGCAGAAAATGGCAGTAAGGTTTATAGCCCCTCTTTACTGATCCTCTGACAGTGTGAAATCTGTTCTGTGTTACAAAACTAACCAACAGTGATCACTCATTGCTATCCCAGAGAACTTATGGCATCAAGATTTCTTTTGTGAGTTGTCACACCAGTTGTGACCTCATCAGTCCATAAGTGAAGAAAGGCGAGCTTTGCCATCACTTTGCTTTTATGCAAAATCTTATTTTCTTAGCCACACACAAACTTAAGAGGTCTTTTTCTAGCCTTTCATGCCTGCTAAGGAGTTAACCAGCCTGAATTATTTTGATGGCAACTGGAAGTTTTTGCTGCTTGTCCCCAGGGCTTATATATCTTTAGTAAAGTGTATTAAGTTTGATGAGGTTCCCAGTGGACATGGCCAGTACCTAAGAGCAGGGCTGGGCAGACCCAGGAGCTTCATAGGACTGATAGAGCTCTCCATTTCTTTTTCTTTTCTTTTCTTTTCTTTTTTTTTTTTTTGAGTAAATTTTATTCTTAATAAACCTAACAAAAAAAGAAAGAAACTAAAACAAAATCAATCATCAAAAACATCAGCCCCACTGGGTCAGCCCCCCACATTTTTTCTTTTTATGTTAAACTATAAACATATTTTAATCTATGCGTAGTCCTATTTCTCTAGCCAATGATATAAAGAGTCCCAAGTTTGATAGAAGTCTGTATCTTCTTTCTCCTTCAGAGACAAGGTCAATCTGTTCATTTCTGCACAGTCCAAGATCTTTTTTAGAATCAGTTCGTTGGTAGGTGGCTCTTCACTCTTCCAATGTTGGGCAAAGCTCTCCATTTCTTTTGGGAATTTTTCTGTTGCCGAGGATTATGACAACGTGAAGAGCTATGCTAGGAAACAGTAGAACATGGTGACTCAGGCCCTCAACCACTGCCTCTTACAACCGCACCAAGAGTTTCTGAAATACATTGATAATTCTGTATTGTAATATTTATGAGATCTTTTTATTCTCTCACTACTCCAGAATTTTTTGTCTGCAGTAGATACCATTATCAACAGTTCAGTAGAAACATGGAAGAATTTTAAGAACGGGAGCTCTCAGTTATTGGATTCAGTGCAGAAGTTTTCACAGTCTCTCCGACCTGTCAATAACACTATTCCACCCATTATAAAGGACAACCTTCAGCTCAAAGGAGCTGTCGTTGGGAATGGGAATGTTTCAGACTTCAGTAAGAGCTTCACATTTTCCAAACTCTCCAGCCTCAGTGGTAGTGTGCTAATTGATAAAGGAAAAATCAAGTTTGAGACGGCAATCACCATCATCAGCGTGGCTTATTCAACACTTGGGCATATTATTCCACTCTATAAAACAGATGAAGTAATTAATGGTTTGGTAATTTCCACAGTGATGAATACCAGCAGCCAACTAGGTGAAGATTTCCAGATCAACATGACATTTACAAAGAGCAAGAAATCCCTAAACAATCCTCGATGTGTCTTTTGGAATTTCAGCTTCTCAGCAGGTGAAGGAGGTTGGGATGACACTGGCTGTGAAAGCAAAGAGAATGGGGACAGTGTCACTTGCTCCTGCAACCACTTGACTTCGTTTTCCATTTTGATGTCCCCCAGCCATGCAAGTCCATGGGCTGGACTGACTTACATCACTTACATTGGCCTGAGCATTTCAATATTGAGCCTGCTGGTCTGCATCGCAATAGAATTTGCTGTGTGGAAATCAGTGACCAAAACTAGGATATCCTGCATGCGCCACGTGTGCATCCTGAACATTGCAATTTCGCTCCTGATTGCAGACATCTGCTTCATCACTGTGGCAGCGATGCATGACAAAAACGATAAAGTGGACCGGCATATCTGCACAGCAGTGACATTTTTCATTCACTTTTTCTATCTCTGCGTCTTCTTTTGGATGCTCACCTTAGCTCTTATGCTCTTCTACCACCTGGTCTTTATTTTACATAATGCAAGCAAGACTACCATGAAAGCTGTAGGCTTCTGCTTGGGATACATCTGCCCTCTGGTTATATCGGCCATCACGATAGGCATCACTCACCCACGTGACTCGTACACACAAGAAGGGATCTGCTTGCTCAGCTGGAAGGATAGCAAAGCTCTCTTGGCTTTAGTTATTCCCGCCATGACCATCGTCGTTATTAATGCTATTGTTACCATCGTGGTTATCGCAAAAATTTCAAGGCCTTCCATTGGAGAAAAGTCGATAAGTGAAGAAAAAAGCTCTCTCTACCGTGTCAGCAAGAGCATTGGCATTCTGACATCAATGTTAGGTCTTACATGGGGATTTGGCTTTGCCACAGTTTTCCCTGAAAGCCCAACAATATTCCATATATTATTTACTATTTTCAATGCATTTCAGGTAAGTAGATCAAAGATACCAGCTGTTTGCTATACTTAGGCAACAAGAATATCAGCATTTTCTTGAGGCCCTCAGTTCCGCTATCATATATAATATGTCATACATGGAAAAGTGCTTCACATAGCTATTTCAGTGTGGTGAAGTCACCAAACTTGCACTTTCATGCTAAGAAATACATGTTTCAGGGGACTCACAATACTCATTTCAATTACCCAGCTAATGGGATCACCTGGCATTTGTCTCCTGTTTGAATGTGAGGCATTTGGATTGATTTAGAAATAAGGCAAGTTGGTGTTTAAAAGCAAAGCAAAGCAATAACAAAAGCAACAATCTCAATTATCTCAGATTCTTTCTGATCCAACCAGAAATAGGGAAGTGATGCCTTTCCACAACTAGAAGCGTCATTGTAACTTCAGGTTTGCATACATTTGATGTGATGAATTGCCTCTCTCAGCATTCTCTAAATGTGTCCTGGAAATCATGTAAAATAGAATTGCAACCTAGATCTGTAGGTTATCTATGCTGGTAGTGCTCAAAATTTCATTAACAGTGGGATGCATTCCTGCACGAGTCACACTGAAGTTAATGGCATGGCTGAGGCTGGGATTCTGATACTGGCAGTGCAAAGGCAAAAGGATGTGGGCCCGTCTATTTTGTTTCTATTCCCCTGGGGAACTTTAAGGGTGCATCCATACCTGTAGTGTGAGCCGTAAGAGAAAGACATCTGTAGCCCAGTAAAGGAAGGCTATAAATGCAGCATAGTAATAATAATACAGCTAGCCCTCAAGTAAAGGAACAGACAGTGTTTTCTCGTTCCTCGTACAGGAGTGAGGAACCCACCCATGGGCCACATGAATCATGGAAGGGGCCAGAGGGTCTGGCCCCCGCTCAGTGCAGGTCAGCAGGCTGAACCATGCTACTCGGGTGGCTGTCCAGCTGCATCCTGAATGCCTCCCGTGTGGGAGAGCTGCTGCTAATTTTATGTGGCCTGCATCATCCTGCCTTTGAGCTGAACCTTAGAGAAAAGGGGTGGTGCTGTCTATGCAGACCCACTGCTCCAGAACCTCAATTTCCCCGCTGCTTGGTGGAGCAATGTGAGGAAGGCATGGATTTTAACCCTGTGATCTTGATGGAAATTCCCCCAGTCAGCTGGTATTGCTTAGCGGAGGACAGCTAAGCAATAGGCAACATTTGCCCTTGCCTAGGCAGAGAGGACCTGCCTCGTCCCCACTCTGGCAGGGTGAGCAGAGCACTTTGGAAGGGGTTCAGCACCCTTCTGCTTCCCATCAATTCTACTGGCAGCTCCAGAACCAACCTTGTATATGGCACAGGATCTGCACAGTCTAATTTGGGTGCCAGCAGTCTTCCTCTTCTTTTCATCCTGGGCTTCAACATACAACACTGTCACTTCCCCATCATCAGGTTTTTTCTCCCCACATCAAGCATCACAAACCCAGCCAAATCTGCCATTTCTGACATCTTGCCTGATGAAGAGATGGGAAGATCTCAGAAAAGGAAAATATCTCTGGTCTTTGGTTGACACAGTAATGGTGCTACATCAATATGGGGCCTGGAATTTTCCAGGCAGTCAACACGGCTACCTTGTTTTTTTCTGGTAAAGACTATGGATTATAATTAGCCCTAAATCAGGACTGCTCAGCTAAATTTTGATAAATTGCAACTTAATTTGCTTTCCCAAAGAGTTTGATCCCTTACTGGTCTCTCCATTAAAAGTTCTGCATGAAGATGGGTTTGTAATCCCTGAGAGGTAATTCAAGTCTTCTCATTCATTTTTCTTCCTGAATGCCATCTCCATGGTCCATGATTTTTTCATTCTGTGTGGCAGAGTTGAAAGAAAGCTGCTCTTCATCTGAAATTACACTAGGGGGATCTCAGTATGCACAAATACATTCAATGTTGTGCTAGAATTGTTCATAACTTTTAATATGCAACTATTTTGCAGGGATTATTCATTTTGTTGTGTGGAACACTTTGGGATAGGAAGGTAGGAAACGAATTTTAAGATATTCACCATTTTGTGTTCATGATTTTATTATATTTACTTGAACAGATTATTTGATAACTATCCTTGTTTCAAATGTGTAGGTGCGAGAAACTATGCTGAACAAGTATTCCCTCTCCAGGTGGAGTTCACAGCACTCAAAGGTAACCTTCTGCCCAGGAATTAATAAAAGATTAGATCCAAAGGTGCCCATCCGCATGCAGAAGATTTTTCAGGAAATTGCTCTTTTTGTCTTTCAGTTGAGCAGGGCATGAGATTAAATCCAAAAATGATTTCCCACTTCTGCAAGTACATCCCCACCCAACATCCTGTGCAAGAAAAAACAGCTTAAATGTCAGAATTTAGTCCTGCAGTTCGGGGTACAATCCTATGGCTTCCCGACATGACTGGGGAGGGCACAGGTTCTTTGGAGTCTCGCCTCAACTCCTTTGCAGCTAAGGCAGAAAGAATTGCACTGGTTGCCTCCCCAGGAGCAGAAATGGGCTTCTGATGTGGGAGAGGGGCATGTCAGTGGGCAGGGGGACGAGGAGGCTGAGGCTGTCAGCTTGCTCCTATCCCTGCTGGTGCCCCACCTTCCTCCCTCCTTGTTCCTGGTGCTATAATGTGAAAGCCAAAAATGACCATCAAGAGAGAGTGCTCTGGGCGAGGGGAAGCAGCAGCAGAGATCACCATGGAGCGCCTTGCTTTGGCGGCTGGATGCCTGGAAGCCTCCAGGTTCAGGGGCTGGCATGCATGCACTGAAGGGGACTGTGCCGCAAGAGCACACCCCTGTCCATGGTTACTTGCAAGTAATCCCATTGATTTCAGTGGGGCTTTCTCCCAGTTAAGTATGCATAGGTTGCAAGTACATGGGGCGGGGAGGGGAGCTATTTCCTCCAAAATACAATACAAAACAAAGCCTGTTAATCAATTTTTATGTATCTGTATTTTCATATTGCAGTCGATATCGCAAGGCGTATCAGCTCCGATGCTTTCCATCAGTTCTCCTTTCTCGAGGACTTTAAACAACTTATTTGGCAAAGCAGGTATATGGCAGCAAGGCACCGTGCAAGCGTCAAATGCAACATACTCATGTTGTTCTGCTCATCTTTCAATTGTTGACTCTTCAGGTTTACGTAATTCCAAAGCACCATAAAGGCAACACAGTTCCTTATAGCTGCATCCCCTGCTCTCAGAGATATTCCCACTCACACAGATTCACTTTTGAAACTGCTTTTCAGTGGCCTACAGCAACTCCCTATCTCCATGTTCTCCTGCAAATGGGCAACACAAATAATGTAAAGAAATTAAATATAGCTGAGCCTCTACTTTTGCAGATTTTGCAAGTTTGCCACCGATAATTAAATGAGAAGGTTTTTTAGTTTTGTGGCCTACCATGGAAAATCGTCGTCATCACAGAGTAAGAAAGGGAGAAAAGGGGGAGGGATGGAGGACCTCCAAAGCAGGCCTTCCTGCCCCATCCATCTGGAGAGAGAAATGCGTGCTGCAAAGTGGAGGTGCTGGTGAGTTGGGGAGGGGCTAGATATACTTGTGGTTCATCCACCTTTGCGGGGGTCCTGCACCCCTCGCTCCCACAGACGTGGGGGGCCTGCTGTAGTGCCATTTAATGTGGTATTTACATTACTAGACCCTTGCCTTGGAATACCCGGTTTAGGAGTGTCAGTCTTGGCCGCCTAACGTCATCCCACACCAGGGACTCTGAAGACTGAGCCCTGCCCCTGCCCCTCCTGCAGCCCATGCGGAAAGAGCCATGTCAGCTGCCTGCCGCCAGGCTGCCAGCGAGCCTCCGGGAGGGCAGACAGGCAATGCTAGCGTGCAAGGGCGGGAGAGGCCCGGAGCAAAGGCTCCCATTGTGCCCCAGTCTCCTCCCTTCTCCCTGTACTTTCTGTAGGTGGCTGAAAATGGCTGCCCACATGGAATACTCAGTGTATGCCCTGGTGGCAGGGAAGACCACTGCCACCATACCCTGTTCCCTGGGTAGGATGCGCTTCTGCCTCCCAGTCTGGAGGCTTGCATGCAATGTGGCATTCAGCTGCTTCCTTAATGCTGTAATGCTTTTCTCCGAAACCAGAAAAGACAGCTCATTCTACAGACGGCTATCTGTATGAAGCTGCTGTGCCTATATGCACAGTGACTGAGCAGCATGTATTCTACAGCATTTTTCTTTTTGTTCTACAGGAAAATACGAGGTCTCTTCCACAGAATCACCGTCTTTATCCTCTGAAAACACTTCGAAGACCTATTCTTTGCTGTCTTGAGTCCACCAAGGACTTGAGGTTGTTGTTGCTGTTTCCTTGACCAAGGATTAAGCACAGAATAGTCCAAGAATAATAGAACATTGATTTCTTGTAGGCTATAAAGCACTGTGACCTATTAGTATAACAGTTTATTTTCCAATGTACCTTGTGATGTGTGGAAGACTAACGTTTAGACTAGAAGAAAGGCGGTGATGTGGGCTTTGATGCTGTAACGTATTGAATGCCGCAGTTCTGGTCATACTTGCTCCAGTCCAGTTCCAGGAATGTACTGGCTGGTGTGCCTAAATCCAGGGTGTGCTGACCCTGAATTTGAGGGTGGTTGAGGGATACCTGCCCTATTCACACACCAAAATAGGCATCCAGGCCGTTTAATGTGCTCAGAGAAATATTATTTATATGGATCTCCTGTACTGCACTGGGTCCTTTGTACATTATTTTTGCTACTGTTTAAAACTTTTACTTGTGCACTCATTGGTAAATCACACTCATTTCAAGGGGGTTTCCAGCCCACCTAAATAGGTGGAGCAACATGAGGGCCTCCTTCCTTCACAAGCCTTCCAAGCACAACCCATGGAGTGTCCTCCCAGAGACAGGGCCGCAATAGCACTCGGGGGCTGCTTGCGCTCCCCACTGGGACTCAGGCCCTTTCTCTGTGCTGAGGGGTGGCATGGAACTCCATGTCCCTCCCCGTACACAAGACATGAACATGGGCATGGTGGCAAAGTGATGAAGGTGTCACTGACCCAGAGAGAGTGATGTGTGGGGCCAGCCTGGTCCCCCACCAAAGAAGCTTTCCTTGTATTATAGGACTGCCACTGACATCAGGGTTCCCATTTCAGGCTATAGACCTAAGCAAACCTACTTGGAAGTATGTCCCAACTGGATTCAATGAGACTTGCTTTGGGTTTTTTTTTTTTTTATTAAAACATTTTTATGCCGCCCCATTCGCCGAAGCCTCGGGGTGGCTTACAACAAAAAATTAAAATAACATTTTAAAATATATACAATAAAATACAAATATATAATATAAAACATACACTGTAAAACAAGCCGCCCTGGCCAAATAAAATTCAATAATATTAACATTTAAAATACTGCTTAAATAAAAAGGTCTTCGCCTGGCGCCGAAAAACAAATAACGACGGCGCCAGGCGGACCTCTCTGGGGAGCGCATTCCATAACTTAGGCGCCACCGCTGAGAAAGCCCTCCTCCGAGTAACCACCCTCCTAACTTCTTCCATGGAGGGCTCCCGGAGAAGGGCCTCTCCCGCCGATCTCAGGGGGCGGCTGGGCATATAAGGATGTAAGCGCTCCTTCAGGTAACCAGGACCCAAGCCGTTTAGGGCTTTATAGGTCATTACCAACACCTTGAATTGGGCCCGGACTTCAATGGGAAGCCAGTGAAGCTGACGGAGAACTGGAGTCATGTGAACATAACGGGTTAGGGTGAAAGGAATGTAAACTGACCTCTGCATTATTATTATTATTATTATTATTATTATTATTATTATTATTAAACATTTCTATGCCGCCCCTTGCCGAAACCTCGGGGCGGCTTACAAGTGCATAAACAGAAGCACTTTGTTTTTGTACAATAGATGAATGTCTAATTATGCAGTTTACTAAACATAAAAGGAAAAATCTGGTGGCTGTTTATATATGAAAACCACACCAATTTTTTCCTTTTATATGAGCTACTTAATAAGCTGCTTGCAACTGTACTTAAGAAAGCAGAACAAGCAAGCAACAAGTCCTACCATCCTTTTTAGAGAAAGCAGATATGGATTGGATTGTCATTTACTTACTGTGTTGTGCAGTTCAGTTCTGTTTTTCTGCCACTGTGCACTGGAGCCACAGAGTTGAGGTTCTCTTAACACATTTGTATAAAGGCAATCAGCATTTTGAATCAGTCATCTGGAGAGCTGCCTTATGCATCACTGCAGCCTCTACGCCCCATCAGGCTAAGCTGACAGAATACATAACCAAGCATTGCCTGAGCGGGATCTGTTACTGCACCGTTAATGAAGTCAGGCGTGCTAACTCTCGGGCATGCATTCATATGTATCTTGCCTGGGGCCCAAATCTTGCCGCCAGGCTTCCCCGGGGGGCCACACCCCTTTCCCTCACCCTGCCCCACCACTTTTCTCTCACCCCCTAATTATTTGATGGTTTCCTGGCTGCCGCATGCTTTTGCCCTATTCTGAAAGATTGTCATGCCTCTCCCAAGGCTTAATGACCTGCAGCAAGTGCTTTAAGCTGAAACAGGTGGATGTTTTTAGTGTTTTCCTGTTTTGCTGCCAGTCTCGTTTGTCCTTGGCTCTTCTCACTACTGGAAGGTGGCCACGGAGAGCTGCTTCTAAAGTGAACTTGGCTCTTGAGCCTAAAAAGGTTCAATGTTGCTGGATAAAGTACTGCAGCAGCCACAGCATGGGTGGGTGGAGTATCAGATGGCCAGCGCAGAGAAGCTAGGTGCACCACTCCCCAAGCACTTTTCTTACAGCATGAGGCAAGCTTTGTTGGAATTAATTTGTGCATTGCCACTGGAGCAGCAGTCCTACAGGCAGCCATGGCTTGATCTAGATGGCCGGACAGCCCAGGCCCAGTTCCTTTCAGCTATGCTTGTGCCACCCCTGGGTTTGCAGTGTGATGGCCTGCCTAAATGAAGCAGCAAGCAGTGAAGACAGATTGTATGCTGTTGGAAATGTGCACTTCCATAGAGGAGAGATGGTTTGGACAGAAGCTTCCATGGAACAGAGTCCAGACCAGATGCATAAAGTCTAATCTCAGTTTGGCAGTTATTTATGCACACGTAAAGTGGGGCTGTGAAGAAGCCCAATCTGCCAGCTCTCTAGTCCAGTGCTCCAGCCACCACACTGCAGTTGCCTGGTTTTGATCCTATTTATTGAGCCCCTGCTGCAGTCTAAGTAGGGTCTTATTGGACCCAGGGTCAGGATGGGCAGTTCCCTCCTGGTTTGCACCCCAAAGCAGTGGCAGCATCCCTTGGTGTCACCCAGGAAAAGTCCAGCCTGGCCACAGGTGAAGCAGTTCCATACCATGGGTGCAGTAGGGGAGGCAGTGCTTGCTAGGAGGGGTGAGGGGGCCTGATGGCAGCCTAGCCAGCTTCCCAGCCCTCTTGCCCCTGCAGGGGCTCTTCTGTTTCTGGATGTGGACTTTGCCAAATGAACCACTGGAGGCTCTGTGCTAGAAGTGTTCCAGGGATACCTGGAACAGGCAGCAGCAGAATCAACGCTTTTCACCTTGGCGGCATTGCTTAGATGAACTGAGCATACCCCTGGATGGAGGCTTGCAGGACACCAAAACCGACCCTGGACTCCTGAGTTGGCTTCATTGCAACCCTCCTGCAACCCTTTGCCTCAGGGGATCATGAATTAGGTTATGGGTTTGCCCAGCATCTTGTGTCCAAACAGGCCTTAAACCAACCCTAGCATGACCAAAAGTAGCATATACCCTTTGTGATCCCCCACCCTTGCCACTCCCAAAGCACACTGTCTGCATTTTTCATGCATGCAGGGTAAAAGATTTATTTAGGATTTAAGCAGAAAGTACAGAACAGAGAAAGAGTCAATTTCAAAGTGCAAAGTAATGGGTGGACTTAAAGTTGCAATGCTGTGGCAAAAGGCAACAAAAGATCAACACATAGACTACTCTGAAGTAAGCTGCCTTCCTGGTTCTGCAGAGACTCCGGACCTTTTGGTACAATTTCCCCTGCCAAGTGTGTGGCACTTTCTCTACCTTTCAGAAGACTTTCACCCCAGTACTGCTACTGAGAAAAGACCCAGAACTCCTCTTTTTAGTGCAATATATCCCCTGGGATACCTCCATACTTCCTGGGTGCAGATTCCAAAAGAATTACCCATTTGAGTCTGGCTTGCTCAATAATCACTCATCCCTGATCCAGAGATGAGTTCTCAAAGATTCACCCTTGGTTGTGCTCCTTGGGGACTGACCAATGTGTCCAAGGGTGAGGGGGGTGTTGTGTACATTAAACAAAGATACTTGCTCCTCAGATGACTTAACCAGGGCAGTTACATCTCAACACCAGCTTCCAGGTGATGTGCATTCAGCAGAAGTCTGCCACTAATGATAAAGCAGAGGTTTTGCTTTTCGGACCTGGCCAATTTGGAAGCAGTATGGTCCGGCTGGGTGGGCCATTCTGGGCTGGCCATAAGAAATATATGGAATCATCTTAAACCTGTATTCTGAAATAAGTCTCTGTTGCCTGGTTAGCATGGAAAGGATTACAAGTACAACACTCCCAACAGCTCCAACAGCCAGCAAAGCAAGTATATTCCGATGGACATGTGCTACCTGGCATCTCACACCTGTGTAGAAGAAGATTTTGCTTGTAGCACACCTATAAAAAGCACAAAAGCTCTGTTATGAGATTGGTCTTCTGTTGACATCAATCCACAGCAGCTAAGATTTAAATATACTTCTTCTAAAGTAAGTAAGAGACTACTCTAAAGATTGTCCAAAGTTAACATGAGCATAGAAGTCCTGGTGACAGGCATTTTGGAATTACTACATCGCCTTGAGGATTGGTTGGCCATTCCATTCCTTCATTTTAAGTTTTATACACCCTTCCCATAGGCTCTGGGTAGTTTACAAGAAATTAAAAACTACAGTGATTAAAACTGACTAAAAACAACATCATAAAAACAATATGAGAACTAATCTGGGAAGGCCTGTAGAAAGAGATACATCCTTAACTCCATCTTAAAGGTGGGAATTTGGGAAATCAGACGCATCTCCCCGGAAAGACCATTCCACTGCTTAGGGCCAACCACTGAGAAAGTCCTCTGGGTAGTTGACATTGATGTTACAGAAGCAGGTTTCAGGAGATTATCCCCAGGGGACCTGAGCTGGCAAAGCAGAATGCATGGGCAAAGGTGCTCCTGCAAGCATTTTAGACCCAAGCCATGAAGGGCTTTAAAGGTAATTACCAACTCCTTGCTGGGAACAATAGATGGCAAAAGAAGGAGGGGACGGCAGAGGATGAGGTGGCTGGATGGAGTCACTGAGGCAGTTGGTGTGAGCTTAGGTGGACTCTGGGAGATGGTGGAGGACAGGAAGGCCTGGAGGAGTGTTGTCCATGGGGTTGCGACGGGTCGGACACGACTTGGTGACTAACAACAACAACAACCAACTCCTTGGAATGTATTTGGAAATATACTGCCAACCAGTGCAAAGACTTGTTATAGGTTTTAAGTGATATGTGGTGTCTCTCTGGCTTTGTTACAGTTTCTGCATTTGTTACAGTTCCCAAAACCGGGACAAGGGTAGCCCTATGTACAGCACATTGCAGAACTCAAGCCTAGAAGTTACCAGTGTGTGCACTACTGTTTTCAGGTCATTCTCCTCCAGGAAGGTACATAGTTGACAACTCAGAAAGGTTTTCTTTTCCATTATTTCCCTTAAAACCTAGTAACAGAAAGGTTGTCCTGTGACTGCTACAGACCAATGTCATTTTCCATGCCCTGAGTAGCAAGGCAAGCATGGCCTGCACTGGCCTGCTTTGAAGGCAACCAAGACTCCTGGGGCAGAGCTCAATGCCAGGCTGCCATGAAGAGCCTGACAGGAACTTCGGTGCCTATAATAGCGGTCTAATGGGGGAAATTTCAACACCTGCAGCTTCTGCTGCTATTGCTGGGAGAAAGGCACAGATGGCCCATTAGTATATCTGTGCATGTTGGTGCAGATGATATGCAATAAAAGTCACTAGAAGTCAGCTGAAATAGTTATAAACACAAGAAGGACTGATGGCAGCAAATTCAAGCAACATAAAAGAGCAACAAAGTGCTTGGGAAAATTAAATGCAGCAAACCTTGCACCAAAATGATAAGAAAATGAGGACCAAGCATGCCTTTCTGAGGAAAGGACTGACTTCATAATTTTCAAAAGATCAGACCTAGCTGATAGCAGACTGTACATACCCAGACAAAATTCAGGTAGCAGGGATTAGAGCAAGTGTGTTTTGAAATAATTCGGTCCTTGTTTAGCTAGGATCAAAACTATTACAGGTCAGTATCTCATAGCCCCTGTGTTTCATGAAACCTGCTCAGATTAGAGAAGAGATCATAAGAATTCTGATTTACAAAATTCATTATATATGATTGAAAAAAGCAATGTTCAGCATTCTTTAGCCAGCCATGCTGGCTGAGGAAGACTGAGGGCTGCAGGACCCTTTTCTGACTAAATGTGTGCAAGATTATGTATGCCTTTACTAAAGCAGAGAAGGAGAAACAACTGTGTGACTTCCCTGTGTCTGTATTGCACACCTGCAGCTTCTTATATTTCTACTGCATCCCAGCCCCTTGGGAGATCAGGAGGATCCTCAGATTCAGATCAGCAAAACCCTCTGATTAGGCAACTAATATTGCAGAATACATGGCAATAGGGAACACTGCGTGGAATTGTGCCATCTGATTCCATCCTCAAGATGCATGCAGGAATTAGTCTTCCCTTATATTATAGACCTGTAAAATGATCCTTGTGATGGTGGTATGCAGTTGACAGACAGACAAACAAATGGTCCAGGATACCTGCAGCTTGCTCTCCCTTTGACATTTACACAGATGCCATCATTTTGGCAGGGATTTTGGTCACACTGTCCTGTCTGGTAAGATTGCCAGTCCTCCAGAGGGGCTGATCTCTTATTCCGCCCCAAAGGATGCTCCCCAAGGATGAACCATGTTTGTGGAGAAAGATGTTCGGTCTTCCTGAGATGTGTTAAATCTTTACCAAAGAGAGAGAAGGAGATAATCAAAACATGTTGAAATGAGAACTGGCACCCACATTTCCAAACAAGCATTTATTTAATTTTGTGGAAAGCATCAAAATGAAAAAATGTCATTGTGATAAGTATTACAGATAGAAAGTTTTCAAAAGTAAGAAAATGTACTAAAAAGGAGGAAATTGTTTTGAAACACAAGTGCAAATTTTGTACAAAACACACTGCAGTTTTGCTTCAATTACTTGTTTTGTAGGGTAGAAGGGAGGTCATAGTCCTTAGTCAAGAAAAAGACTATGATGAGAAACTGGAAATCTTTGTTGGATAACATGCACACAGAGAGGAAGAGATTTGTGGATGGAAATGTAGTGATGCACATCGTTTCATTTCTAAATGAGACAATGGAACTTCATTATACCTAAACATAAATCCCTTTTCTTTGGAGTCCCTTTTTGCTAATTCCAGAAGTGTGGAGCATAGTTGTAATTATTAAAGGATGAAAGAAAAGTATACTGTGCATGCCCAGTGGCACTTTTTTACTGCTACCTCCCAGGCAAACCCAGGAACTGAAAACAAATCTTCATCTTGGGTCCTCTTGAACTGGGGCGCAAGCTGACCCCTAATAGCACATTACTTATTAAGGGCACAATTCTATATCCCTCTAACACATGCTGGAAGGTCATGGGATTATTTGAAGGCCCAGCTGCAAGATTCTGGAACACCCACAGAAGCACCTCCCCCCCATGCCAAGAGGCCCCATGGCTGGTCCTGTGAGCAGGGCCGCTATGACCAGTGCTGGGGCCAAGGCACTCCTAGAGAGGGGCAGCAATCTGGCTCTTTCTGAGGTAATAAGGATGCTTTAAACAAAGCCCCCAGATATGCCAGCAACCAGGGTGAGTACAGGGCCTGTGGGAGGTACGCTGATTGCTTGGCCTCTGCAAGGAGTGGGGTGGCAGCTGCCTTTAAAGCCTGTCCCACACAGAGCACTCAGTACCAGTCCCGAGGAGCATGCCGCAAGGCTCGCTTTCTCCAGATAGTCTAAGCAGATAAAGGGCCACCTGCACTCCTGGAAGTGCTGCTGCATCCAGGACAGCCCCCCAAGCAGTGCACTCCGTTCTTCACAGGGAGTGCAGCCCCATCCAGCACCTCGCCTGCACCTTCATCTTGACTGGCAGGTCTCAGCAGGCACAGTGCCTCTGGCTTTCCTGCATCAAGCCTCTGCTAGTCACTGCATTTGTCTTCAGACAAACCATTCAGGGTTGCAACAGCTCCCTCAGACCAAGAAGTGCAGCTGTGTGTCACCCACAATGGAGATGTGCTGGCTCAGCCCTCTCAGAAGCTTTATACAAATGTTCGAAAGCATGGGGGCAAGACAGAACCTGGAGGCAACCCAAAGGCTAGTGGCCACGTGGTGGAACAGAGGTCCCTCAGCACCATCTTCCAGGCAGATTCCTCTGAAAATACTGGGTGCCCATGAGCCACCCTTCCCCAGTCCTACCCTGGCTGGGTGACCCAGGAATATACTGTTTGATGATACTGGAAGCAGCCAAGAGGTTCAGGAAAACTAGCTGGGATATATTCCCCTCCACTGCTGTGCACTATTGAAGGGGCTGAGTCAAAAGTGAAGGAGCCAAGAAACAGAGCTCAGCTCGCCCACTTCGAATGCAGTCTGAGCCCTGCACAGCAACATGTGGCGAATGCAGGCACTGCCAAAGGACACAACTTTCCCCACGGGGCTCGTCCATCTTTTCCTCCTCCTCCTCCACTGCCACCACCTGCAATTACAGTATAAAGCAAAATAGCATGGCGCTCAGACATGCTGTCGATTTGGGTGTGCCTCAGTGGGAAGCACTGTTTTGAAGAAAGGCTACCATGGTGCTGATTCACAGACACGGGGCCCAGGGTAGAGCACTGCAAGTAATCTCTGCATCCTCAGACTGCACGGGCTGTGAGACCTCTCCAAAACAGCGTGACCGGCAGTCTCTCCAGCAGCCTCTCCCTACAGTTCTGGCAAAACCATGAGATCAAATAGGAGCCGACGCAAGGGCTTTTGGAGCAACCCCATCAGCCCTGCACCCAGTGCACAGAAGCCTCCCTACTCAGAGGTGTGCGCACATCTTCCCTTCCAAAACATTCTTCTGGTCAGCTTTCTTTACCACCGTCACCTTTGCAGAATAGCAGCATGTTATCACTTCCCATTCTTTATTAAACTAATGCATCAGGGTTGTAAAAATCATGCATCCCATCTTACAATGAGAAATTCCATACCTTCAAACTCTGCAAAGATAATTAGGTCATCATTTTTCAGGTATTTCCTTCTCCTTAGCTGTGAATGGGAGATGAATTTACTCCATCCCCAGTCTCTACTCCGACTGCAATTGCACGAGGCATCAAAATTTCCAAGAAGAGAGGGCTTGTCCCATCTGGAAGACTGATTTTTTCCTGCCAAGGAAATATTTGCATGCTGTTTGTGTTCTGTGCATTGTTGAATTGTTTAGGCTTCTTAGTGTAAAAACTGCAAGTGGATGGATCCTGCCAGGAACTGCAGGAGGAGGGAAGGAGGCTGAGGCACCACCAACATTTGTGATGTGTTGCTGGTCCTGGTCTCCTCCTCTCCCCACTTCCCAGAATGCCCACTAAACCTTCCCAGAATGCCCTTCTCAGAAGGCATTTTTGCATCCTTGGAAAAGCAAGTGGCACACTGCAAGAGGCAAGATCAAAGAATGGAACCTCAGTGCTGAAGTCACAGCAATTTTCCAACCTTGGAGCTGTCTAAGGGCCATGTGATTGCTCTGTGAAGGGGGGGAGGGAGGGAGGGAGGGACAAATGGATGGATGGAGAATCACAGAGGGCCACTCCAGCATCAAGAGAAGTTGATGCCAGCAGGGGACCCACTGCTAAGCCCAAATCTCCTGGGGCTGAGGCTCTTCCTTGCTCATCTGCCCTCTCCGAGCTGTGATTGACAGTGGTAAGGAGAGGTGAGTCAAGTTGGAGGCACAAACCTGGAGCTGACATTTAGGCAGTTTCCTTAGCTGTCAGCGTCCTGTGCAACATTGCCCATGAGTCTGAGGTGCACTCAGGTGTTATGCATTCAAGCTGCTCACAGGGACATGCATTTTTTTCATCCTCCACATGAGATTCACAGGAGAATTTCCCAGCTATACTCACCATCTGCTATGGAAGTAAATGCAAACACAGAATCCTGCCTTCTTGGTTCCACAACCATTTCTATTCAGGGATTTCTACATACCTGGAAAAACCTGAGTTGCATCTGTTGTGAAGCTCCTTTCTGAGGACATCCTCCTCCTGACATCAGGATCTTGGTCCAGAACAGTGATTGTGACCTGCCTGCCTAGAACTGGCCACTCAAGAACTCCATCGTTTTCACCACTGATCAGGTGAAAAGAAATGCGTGTGTAATTTGCAGAGGCAGAATCACTCTGGCCTCTGGGAGACACTGTTAAACCATAACCATAACCTTCAGCGCTATAAAACAGGGGACTTTGCACCAAGTAGTCTTCAGGTGCAGTTCTGAGTAGATGGGAGAAGTTGCGAATAAGCCACACAGCGCTGGGGCACGGGGTTTCACTCAGGGTTAGATCATCAATGGAAATTCCTCCAGATGAGTCACCAGGATTGCCTTTGAGTCCATGGAAGAGATACTTGAACTTTCTTTGTACGTTGAGGGTCACATGGGCAATTTTCCAGTTATGGTCACTGTTCCCTATGGAAGAAAAGGCAAATACTATGATTTCCACAGTAAATCATGAGAATGATCCCCATGTTTATTAAGCTCATTGTTTTAAGCATCAACACTTTGGAGGTTTTCTGGTAACACAGAATGATGGAGAGCTGTCATTCAACTCTGGATAAGCCTTGCAGGACTATACCAGTCTAAAACATGAACAGGGAAATTAACCTCCTCATTTTTTCAGCTATTACATGCTTTCAAACTTGGAAAGAATTGTCCCTTAAACTACCCACAGGGTGCATTTCACCTCAGGCAGGTAACTTGTATGGGAATATCAATTTCTTTAACTGATATTTTTTAAAAATCCATCTTTTGCCATAAAATCAATGTGAATGTCAGTTTTTAGATGCTAATTTTATAAATGAAGTTGGAGCACTTTGAGGTGGATCCACTCAATGTCATGAGAGTCTCTGGCAAGGGAAAGAGTAGGAAGGGGGGGCATTTACTGCCTTTCTGGGTTTTGTTTTGTTTTGATTTTTGTGGGAGGTAGTTATTAATTCCCTCCTACTTATTGTCAGGCTTGCATAAAATTTCTCCCTGGTTGGGGGCATGCCTGGGGTTGGGAGGACTTTAGATCCTTTGGCCCTTGTGATTCTTGACACACAGTTGTTTATGGGTTCTTTATATAATGCTGTAACACTCCAGGTTCAGTTCTGTTTTTTCAGAGAACTTTTTTGAGAAAACAAAAATAGGTTATTATATAATAAAGGTGGGCATGGTCCTGTTTCTCCTTGAGAATTTGGTGTTTTGAGTGGGGACCCAAGAGATCAGGGTTCTAATCTGCACTCGGAGCTGAAGCTTACTGGGCAACTTTCAGCCAGTCACTCACACCCAGCCTAACCTACCTCACAGGGCTGTTGTGAGGATAAAATGGAGCTATGTAAGGTACCTTGGGTTCCTCACAAGAGGTAAAGAGGTAGAAAAGAAATGTGATAATACTACTGCTAACAATTAATGTTAATGCTAATAATGCATCCCAACCTAGAGGTTACATAGTGGAAGAGCAGGAAAGGTAGAGCTCTTTGTGTAAAGCTCAGATGGCACTCAAAGACAATACAGTGATTAACATCATTGTGCAGGAAAGCCCCCAGTAATGCAAAATCAATATGATAATTAAAACCAAGTATGAAGATGAAAACCCACAGCACAGTCTGTAGAAGGGGTGGCATTTACAGACTGGAAAGGCCTCCCCAGTACAGCATTCTGTCCACACTGTGCTCAGGCAAAGGACTCAATGGGAAGCCCACAAGTAGGACACGCCTGCAGAAGCACTTTCCCACCCAACTTCTTCATGATATGCTGAAATGTTATTTCGACGCATCCTGCTTCCAGCTCTGGAGATCATACATTGCAATACTTTCTGTTCGCTGTTGATCACTTTCTTCTCTGTGATGGGCTTCAGAATCAGTCCAGTTGCTTAAGTAAAATGCTTGAAAAATCTCAGTGGGTTTTTTGAGTGTTTGGTTTAAACATGCAAACATCCAGATGCCTCTGCATTCTTCCATGGCCCTGTCCTTTATGCCAGTTGTCGTTTCCCAAGAGAAAATGCCTCCTTGCCCCAGGCAGGGTAGTAAAAGCAGGGCTGACAGCTGAGTTCAGCCTCTAGCTGCCAAGTCTATAGCTGAGATGGGAGCTCCACTTTGGGCAAACATGGAATACTGTAACTATCTTGAACCAGCATGTCTTCAGAACAAGTACCCCTTTTGAATAAATACTGTGTCTTAAACATTAAAATTGCAGGAGTGGGGGGACAAAACCCCTCAACAGATTCTCTTAAATCGAGTAGAAACAAATAGATTTTCTTTCTTCCATCCAGCAAGAGGATTGCCTCAGTCTACTACATGCTGGTCCTAAAGACAGTATAGACCCATCAGGAGCCTGCTGTAACATATTTGCTAGGCACTTCTAGGAGAACATCTCTTACCTCCTCTGGGACATCAATGTTGAATCAGGTGAGGTAGCCAGATCACCTTCTGTACCAGTGTTCTTGGATGAGTTCCAGCTGGGTCCATTTCAAGGACATGGACAAGGTGCTTAGACAGGTTTGTGAAACTACCTCTGTACTGGATCCACGCCTTTCTTAGTTTATATAAATTGGCAGTAAGAGAAAGGTAATCTGGGCCAGGGAGGTGGAATGTGACCATGTTGATACTCCTGTATTTCTCAACAGCTTTCAATACCACTGGCCATGCGTTCTCTCTAAACTGAGAGTAGGGAGTAGTGCATTGCAGTGGTCCCACTTCTACAGGGATGACCAGTTCCAGAAGGAGTGCTTGGGGAATATCGTTCAGCCCCATGGATTCTCCAGCATGGAGTTCCTCAGCGGCCTGTTCTGTTTTCCTTGCCATTCAACATCTACATGCACCCTAGGAGTGGGATTGTTCGGCATCTGAAGGGCACTGCTCATGACATGCCATTCTATTTCTCCTCCCCGCCCCCCATCAGTTGAGGCCATCGATGTGCTAAATCAGTGGCCGGCTGTGACAATGGACTGCATGAGGGCTAGCAAACTGAATGTCAATCCAGACAAGGCTGATCTATTGTTTGTTGGTGGCCTTCCTGATTGGTATGGAGGGTGCTCAGCCTGTTCTGGGTGGGCTGGCACTCCTCTTGAATGAGCAGATATGTAGTTTTGTAGTCACTTGCTACCCAGGAGCACTCCGTGACATGGGCTGACTGCTATTCATTTCAGCTGGTGTCCCAGCTATGTCCCTATCTGGATAGGGATAACTTAGTGTCAGCAATTTACATTCTGGTAACCTCCAAGATAGATTGCTGCAATCTACTCTACACTGGGCCACCCTTGAAGAGCATCGAGAAGTTGTAGCTTGTGCAAAATGTGGCAGCTAGGTTGGTAACGGGAACCAGATGGACCAAGCTTACAATGCAAGTTCTGCACCTCTTGCAACGGCTGCCTGTATGCTTCCAAGCCCAATTCAAGGTACTGGTTTTAACCTGTAAGGCCTTACATGACCTGGAACCACAATTCCTGTCAGAGCATCTCTCCTAAATCTGCCTAAACACTATACGCAAGATTTGAGGACTTCCTCTAAGTGCCATGTCCAAGGAGGGTTTGGAAGATGGCATCAAGAGAGAGGGTCTTTTTAGTAGTGGCTGCATGACTGTGAAATAATTTCCCGACAGAGACCATTTTGGTGCCAGCTTAAATCTTTTCTCTTTTCTGAGACACTAATTTTTAATGGTCTTTTAAGATGCTATGTAAATGTGGGTGCCCATAACCATCCAGACCTGCAGGATAATGGCCATCTAATGGAAGGCAGAAGGAGCACAGTTTGGGACCGTTTTGTTTTACACTGATTCATGGGAAAGGGAGCTGGAGACACCGCTAAGGTTGCAGGGCACCTCCCGTCCCATGTTCGAGAGCAATCCTCTCCCCATGCCAGCTCCAAAGTCCTTCTTGTAACCGCAGAGCTGCAGCCTGCGTGAAAAGAACCACGCCAGTTGCAGCAGCAGAGCCAGCCTGCTCCAACTGTAGAGTCCCAGTCCCAAGGTTGGTGCCAGAACTGCGAACTGTCCTGATGCCATTGGACTGCATAATTAATGGTGTACGGGGGCTCTCAGGTATTATCTATTGATTATGCTTAACTTTTGGGTCCCAGGACCCAAGAAGGCATAAACAAAAGTCTCTGTTTCTGATGCCTGCCTGAAATTGCAAAACCAGGTTTGGGACAGGGTGGGATTGGGACTGGAAAGACTCTACCGGGACACTATGGCTAGTGGGCTGGGCTCAGCATGGTGGGAAACAGGCCAAGTGCACCCTGGAGTGTGGAGGCCATACACATATCTGTTTTGTTCCAAAGATACATGCAAATCACAGCTTTCTATGGGTGCACATGGTGAAGAGGTGCTTGTTTGTGTGCAGTCTTCACCGATAACCATGCACATATTTCCTGCATGGAGATGGGGGCGGGGGCTTTTAATGGTAAGAATCTGAAAAAAACTGCTATTAAACATTGCTGTGCTTTAAAACCAACATGTATGATGGCTGCACAAAGATACACCAATGTTTTCTTTCCTAGTTTTCAAAATTACCTTGAAATGTTTGGATTTTAACCAGCCTGCGAATTTTTCCAGTACCGTCGTCCTTCTTAACCCATATGGTAAGTCTGTCCCAGGGACTTCCTGTCATTTTGAAGAAGAACTGGAGACACTGTTGCTTCCTTTTTGGATACAGAATGCGAGATTCTAAGACAGCCGCTTCACCTCTCATCCCAGAACTGGTATTAAAGTGCATGAAGTGGCCAGCATCTGTGGAAAAGGAGTTCCTGAAGCAACCTCATGCATAATGATGCACACACTGTCCATTAGATATTATCTGGACACTTACCAAATTACAACTCCCAGGATTACAACTCTTCCAAATGGACTATTCTACAGTTCAAGGCCTTCTTTCTTGGTCAGTAACTCCTAGCTCAAATCACATCAGTTTATATATGAAACTTGGATTTTTTGCCCTAACATTACTTTATAATTGCTTACATTGGATCGCATTTGCCATTTTTATGTCTATTCTCCTGGTTCAGAGAGGTTCTTTGGGAACTGCTCATAATTCCCTTTTTTGTTTTAACCACTCTGAATAATTTGATATCGCCAGCAAACTTGGCCACTTCACTGCTTACTCTTAATACCAGATGATTTATGGATATGCTGAAAAGCAGTGGTCCCAGTACAGATCTCTGCTGGAAGAATTTGCCATCTAGCTTTGCTTTATGTCCTTTAACCAGTTCCTGATTCATAAAAAGCCATCTCTTCTTATGCCAAGTCTTCGAAGAGGGACTGTGTCAAAACACTTTTGAGAGTTCAGGTAAACAATGCTTCCTGGATCCCCCCTGTCAACACGTCTACTGAGATTCTCGAAAATGACAGGAGACAGGCTTATCTGTGAAACAACCTTGTTGATTCTTTTCAAGAATCATATATGCTTAATATATATGCTTACTGATTTTATCTTTAATAATGCTTTCAACTAGTTTCAGCCAACCAATTACTGACCTGTGCTTCCTCAGATCTCTCCTGGATCCCCCCTTATTTAAAATAGGTGTTATACTGGCCATTCTTGAGTCCTCTGATGCCCTCCAGTCTGATCTTGGGGGCATGCTACGTATTTTTGTAACAAGACTGGCGATTTCTTCAAGAGCTCCAGGATGGATGCCACCCAGGCCCAGCCACGTTCGCTTTCAAACTGCAAGAAGGCAGAGGGCTTCATCTTCTGCCGCCACTCCTTGCCTCCATTCCATCAGCAGCAGGATGCTCCTGTGCACCCCACGAGGGGCTCAGCTATGCCTGCCCCATGTCCCACGAGGCTGCAGCATTCAAATCAAGCCTGCCCTTCTTTGCATGGCCAGAACCCAGTTCTGTATGCATGTGTCTCATGTACCTTTACATGGTCCAGCAAAGGTGTGGTCTTGTCCCAGAGAATCACTGTTCTTATAAGTCCAGTCATCATCATCTCTGGTTTCCTGAACCAGGCCACACACGTCGGCTGACTCAAAATCACATTGGTCCAAAAGGGTTAGAGATGACGCTGAGGAAAATATCCAGGTAGAATAGAAAAATGAATAGGAAACACCCAAACAGAAGTACTTCTCCCCCATCTTTTTCATTAATGAAAAGCTATTATCAATTTGAATCCATTTTACTCAAAGGTGATCTGTTACTTTTAGTCCCCAAATTTACATTCACTGTCTGGGTATGGACTTACTGCAGTTGTACATGCGATTGAGTCTTGCTAGATCAGTAGTGCTAAAATCCAAGCGCTGGCCAATAATGTGATTAAATTCAGATATTCTGGCAGTAATAGTTCTTAAGCTTGAATTTTTACTAAATGAAAATGGACCATAGTGCATGATGGACTCATAATCATATGGAGTATTCAGGTCAGTGAGATAGCTGTCTCCATATTTTTTAAAGTTGTGTATTTGATCTATAAGAGAAATAAACACACAGTTATTTTTAATAACTGATTATGGATCAAGATGTCATGATGTCATTAGGAGTCTGGTAATTCTGATGTAAATTTTAATGAAAAATATGACTTTGGAGTGTCATTCTATGAACAAATATATAAAAGATAAAATCTGAAGTGATGTTGTATGAAAGTGAAAAGCATAAATTAGAGATTCCTGTTCCAAGTTTTATATCAGCCATGAACTCCCTGCTTCTATTGCTTAGAAAAATTCACTGTGCATAAATGTACTATATCATACACACACAGAGCGACGCAGACACATATGCTCTTCCAGGTAAACTTGTGTGGATACATGCAGGATGATGTGCATGTCGACCAGAAATACTTCATGGATTGCTCTTATGCCTGCCTCTGGAATCCTGGGACGACTCCCCAGTGTTGTCATTTTAGGTTGAAGCTTAACACTGGAAAGAGTACTCCATCCAGGCACTTTGGCTGAGCGACTTATGGTGCCATCCTATGCCCTGCACTGTCGATGCACATACACCTCCAAACTCAGGGGCATAGGAGCATCCTATGCCCAGAACAAGATTGGCCTTACTGCCATGTTATCTAGGTGGCTGTCTTCCGCCATCCAGTGAAAGAGCCAGGGCAGAGAGAGAAGGAGACTGGACTGCTGACAGCAATCAGCCTAAGTCCTCAGCCCCCACCTCCTTCCCTCCCTGCCCACTGGCAGGCCTTTTTTGCCTTCTCTGAGGCCCAGTTGCACCCAGTTAGCATGAGAGGGGTTGCACTGGCTGCACGGAGGGGAGAGACTCCACCTGCAGAGTTCCAGCTCGGAGAGCGCAGCCTACAGGCTCCTCAGTGATGACAACCAGCCATGGAACTGCACCCTGGAGGTGCCATCTAATGCACATTTAGACAGAAAAGGTTACTTCTAATTCCCATGCTGGCCAGGGGATGCTTTTTCTGCCTGAACATGCACAGGACCGCCCTCTTGATGTTTTTCAGCTCCAGAAATATACTCATAAAAATGTCACTTAAGATTTTAAAAAGAAAAATGCACAAGGAGATGTACCAGGAAACAGAACCTTCTTTCTAGACAATAATAATGCACAGCATCAGATAAATCCTGTAATCTCTGTTCAGATAAAATAAAAATCTCCCATTCATCAATTATCATTCTTGCTGTGGTGGAGAGAGCAGGGCAGGAAGTCTAGATCCTGCCTAGAATTTTCTAGGATGGAACAATTTGGAGCCAGCTGCACCACACATGCACCCGAGGACCTGAGAGCACAACATGGCCCCAGTGGCTGGATCTCGTTAGGGTGCTAAGCACACAAGCAATGTGGCATCTCAGTGCTCGGCACAGCTCAGTGAGCAAAACAAAATCAGTAAAGCAAACATCCAGAGGTGGGGGGAGCCTCCTACTTTCTTTATATCACCCCATGTTCTTTACATCACCCCAATACTGCTTTGAGGGGCTTCTAGGGGACCAAATTATGACCCCTACATCTGCTGATGATACGTCTAGTTTGGCACTCAAGCATGTCGAACTTGATGCAAGTACTCCTGCTTTGCCATCTATTTCTTGCAGCCCTCACACTGACGGATTATCATTGCCATCTATCACGTATTATTATTATTATTATTATTATTATTATTATTATTATTATTATTATTACATTTCTATGCCGCCCCTTGCCGAAACCTCGGGGTGGCTTACAACATGATAAAATACATTGAAATACAATAGTACATAATAAATTACCATTAAATACAAAAATACAAAAAATACATTGACTTACAAATATAAAATTAAAATTATCAGTATAAAATAAAAATATAGGAGGAGAAAGAGAAGGAAGAAGAAGTTGCCCTGGCCAGATCATATGTTTTAACAATTGAAATGATGTTTAAATAAAAAGGTCTTTACCTGGCGCCGAAAAACCCGTAACGACGGTGCCAGGCGGACCTCTTTGGGGAGTGAATTCCATAGGTTGGACGCCACCGCAGAGAAAGCCCTCCTCCGGGTACTTACTCTCCTAATTTCTTTCATGGAGGGTTCCTGGAGAAGGGACTCTCCCGCAGATCTCAAGGGGCGGTCGGGCATATACGGACGTAAGCGCTCGTTCAGGTAGCCAGGACCCAAGCCGTTTAGGGCTTTATAGGTCATAATCAACACCTTGAATTGGGCCCGGGCTTCAATGGGAAGCCAGTGAAGCTGACAGAGGACTGGTGCCATGTGAGCATAACGCCCCGTCCCCGTCAGCAACCTGGCAGCTCTGTACGTAATGCCTACAGTAGCAGGAATGGGCAGCTTGTGGCCCTCCAGATGTTTCAGGTACCACTTTCATGATCCCTGGCCATTGGTGATGCCGCATGGGTCTCATGAGAGTTGTAGGTCAAAGCTTCTGGAGGATGACAAGCTGGTTATCCCTTTACAGCCCCTTTCTATCTAAGTGCCCTGGGAGAATATAGAGAAACAGAAGGTTCTTTCACACTAGCCATTCGCATTCTCTATTAACTTATTTCGCATGAAACATCCACAGGCCACTATAGCTAACAAATCAAAATGCATTTTCTGGTAATCAACCCATGTTTTTTCAGTGATGAGATTGTGGGAAAAGGACATTGCAGCTCCAGCTTGTATCAATCAAAGAGCTAGTAAGGTTTTCCAGGGCTCCTGTTCCTTTAAGCAGAACACCAGCTTTTTGCATGCTCAAACTGGTTCCCGTTCATGGGGCAGGGAGGGTTAGAAGCGAAAATGTTTAGACTGGCCTCTCTAAATTGGTCTGATGTTAGCTGCTGTTACCATATGAGAATCTTTAATTATGTATTTCACCTCTTTATGTTTTCTTCCTTTTTGAATTACTGCTATTTCACCATTTGAAAAAAAGCCAGGGACAGCGACCCAAAATGATCATTCTAGTCAAGGTTTGTGCTGTACCCTCACCCTGCTTCATTCATGGAATGATATGAGGGTCCAAACAAAATAATCTTCTATTTGTAATTCTTCCATGTTTTGCACTAGTCCTTCAGTTGATTTTGTTTTTCATTTGATTTTATTTCATTTTTATACCATCCAATAGCTGAGGCACTCTGGGCAGTTTACAAAAGTTAAAAAAAAACCTTAAAGCTTTCAAACAGCAAAACCACAGTAGCAACTGAATCAGCACAGAAGCACAGCAGTAGTACAGTATATAATGCAATATGAAAAAAATGAAGTTAAAAAGTTAAATGGTTAAAATGCTAGAAGAATTAAAAGCTCTGCAGTGCATGCTGAAAAGAATATCAAGTATGTTCCAGATGCACCTCTTTGGAGAGTTAACTGCACAACCAGGGTGCCACAACCAAAAAGGCCCACCGTTTGGTAGTCACTGGCCTCACTTGCTTTGGAAGCAACTCCTGGAGAAGGACCCCTGAATATGACCTCAGGGTCATTTTCTTTCAAGGAAAAGTACATTAAGGTGAAAAAGTCTGCACACTACCAACTGCAAGGCTGCATGATGCTTCCGACTGGAAGTGCTAGTGCTAGAAGCACACTTCAGCTGATGCCAACTAGCATTTTAGAGGGCAGCCTGCCATGAGCATGGGTTGAAATGTCTTCAGAAGAGCAAAGGTAGCTGTATTTTCTATATGCAAAATCCTTTCATTAGATTGGAAACCAACCTGGAAGCACGTGCTCCCACCATATTTTAACGTAATCATCTCGGTCCGTCCTTGTCTGCTCATGGAAGAGTCCTAGAGCATGTAAGATTTCATGCATTACAATAGCTTTGTGGTCACACCCTACACCTATTGAAAGGTTTTGGCCGTGCTTTGCATCTCCAATTGCAGACCAACATCTGAAAACACAAACAGAAATCAGTGTTTGACAGTCATAGAGTTGTACTGAGTTTGTTGATGCATATGGAAGAAAATGAACTGGCAACCTTGAAAAGAATGTTACTCCATTTTAAATGCAGACTAGCAATTGCCATTAATTTGAAATAATTTATTCTATCCATGAAGCACTAAGACTGATAAAGAATTCAAGACAACATTAGAGAGATGCATTTTACCTTTAGAGAACCTATTAATCTTCATTTTAACCTTAAAGTGAGGTTAAGCATTGCTGTTCTTAACAAATGGTATAAATACCATAAATAAGTTGACCAGAAAACAAACAAAACCCCTAGTACAGGTTTTTATTTATCATAAGTCCCTCTGAAATGTGAAGATTACTTACCTGTGAGCTTCTCTGTGATGTATACCATCTTCACATAGATTACTCACCCACCCCCAAGTGAATAATCCCATTCCTGCAAAACCTAAAGATGTCTCTTGAGCAAGCCTTCTTGCCCCAGTCTGTCTGAAATATTTTTAATTTTTCACTCTCAACTGTAAATGTGCAAAGAACAGATGCACCTTTATTTCTCTTACATTTAGTAGCCTTCTCCCATTCCTAATGAATTACTGAAATGTCCATCCAGTTATGTAAAAAGTTATAGCCCATCTTAGTCAATGGGGAGACATGCAAAACCTCAGGTTTCCAAAGCATGTCTCTACTCTGGATCCCATGAAGAGCGGGTCAAGTCTGAAGTGATCCATGCCATGTGAAGGGGAGAGATGCACCCTCAAAATCAGAAGGACCATGTGGAAGGAGGGCTACGTCTAAGAAGGTTTGGGAAGGCAAAAGGAAGCGTGGTAGAGGGCAGCAGTGTGTGTGGGGAGGGGGCAGGGGGGGAGAGCATCAAACCATGGCCAGCAAGAGTACTTATAGTACTTAGGACATTTAGAATTGCACATCTACCTCCTCTCTTGAGAAGAAACAGGGAGCTTCTCTATGTTAGGCATTTATTGTGTGCTTGTAATTCTTCACTCATGGCCATTTGTGGGTGCTTTACAGCACATTGCTCTCCTCCAAGGCCTCTTCCGTGCTGCTGAATCATTCCCCCTCCCCAACACACACACACATGCACATGCGCATACATGTTCTTGAGATCATGTTATTGTATATTTTCACAGTTTTGCTATATTGCTACTTTGTGGTTGTTTAACACTACATATAGAAGGCCAGAGAAATAGAACCCATGGAAATGTGGTGGTTGTTGTGGGCTCTCAAGTCATCTCCAACTTATGGTGACCTTATGCATGAAAGCCCCACAAAATGGCCTGACCTTCACAACCCTGCTCAGCTCCTGTAAACTCAAGGCTGTGGCTTCCTTCATGGAGTTGACCCATCTCAGATTTGGACATGAAAAGGAGCTGGTGTTAATTCTACAATGAATCCAGAAGCAGAAGCCTCAGGAAAGGGGCAGATTGAAGACCCCTAGAAAAGCCCCACAGCTGTGCCTCAACCTAATATCTCCAGGGGACAAGGTGGCTTAATTATGCAAGTAAAATTTCTAAGGGCTTTTTACTTACCCATCCAGCTTCTGAAATATTATAAACGACCTTTCTCTATCACGTGGCTTGAAATTTACACAAGATTTTAGGTGGAATCCTTCAAATGCTTTAAGGATTACCCCTTTGGCGTTTAAATCTGAAAGACAGACAGACAGACAGACAGACAGACAGACAATTTTTAGTAGCCTTTATATTTCTGAAAGTTACCTATAGCAGACAAAAAGGGACATTTGATTCCATTTAAGTTATTTTGAGGTAATACTTAACATGTGAGTTTATTTATTAGTGCAGAGAGTTTTTAATTAAGATGTCTATATACTGAGACACTGAGTAGCTATTCCAAGGATTGGCAACATGATACCTCCAAGTAACACTAGTTCACAAAACACCTCCCTTGGTAGCTGCTAATATGCCTGAACATTTTTTTAAAAAATCACACATTTTTTTTTAAAAGGCATTTTTTTACCAGTGGTTGGCACTGCTCTGAGAGACGCTTTTGTGCTGAAGCCTGGTTCAAAGGAGGTGCTCAGTGTGTTGGAGTTGAGCCCCGCCTCTGCCTTGTCCTCAGTCTTTCAGGCTGACAGTCCTTCCTCATGACTTCCCTGGCAGCCATTTTGTGGTGGTGTCCAGGACAGCTTTTCAAACAGCCAAATGTGTCTCTGGCCCCAAAGTCTCAGCCACATCTCACCTACTTTGAGGAGGGCGGTCCTGTGCAAGTGCCAGGACATTCCCCTCTGACTGCGGATGACAGGGATTGTAGTATGAAGCCTAGGCATCCATTACGTAACCACATTAAAGTCTCCAGGCTTGTATCCTGTGCAATAAAATAGGAAGGTGACTATCCTATCAAAATAAGGATAATTATGAGAAAGAAAAGGATTACAGATAAGTTGCGGAGAGGCATATGAGAAGTGCATCAAAGAGGAACCCCTTCTGTTCCACTACAAAGGCGAAGGAAGCCTGATGCACAGCTGGCAACTCAAAATGGCATCCAGGCATCTGCCCTGGCTCTATGGGAGGGCAGCGGACCACCTTTTTAGTCCATGTGCACATCAGGCAACTGGATACTCTGTCATGGGCACCACCACAAAAGGGCTGCCTTGTCAGGCACAGCTAGCTACAAAAATCGAATAAAATGTCCAAATGACTCTACGCAAGGCGGCGGGGGAGCAAACCGCAGGACATGTAATAATAATGCCTCGCAACCAGCAGTGTTCCGAACCACCAGTAATCTGTTTCATGGAAGGCCAGCTCTCCTTCTCCTGAAACCCCCCACCCCATTGCTTGTCTCTTCTGCGCTTTCACTGGGATAGAAGAGGGCCTTCTCTGTACTGCGCCTGGTCCATGGAGCAGCCTCCCGGAAGCAGTAGGCCTGCTGCTCTCATTGCAACCTTTTCAGCGCCAGGCAAAAGCAACTTTATTTTCTAGACATTTTAATTGTTGATTTTATCTTGATAACTTTACTGGTATTGCTGTTTTTATCTATACTGTTTTAAATTATTATGCCTTGGCTGTGTACTGTTTTGTTTTATAGTTTTTTCTTGTTTATTCTTGTGTGTTTTAATTTATTACTTTTGTTGTTATAGGATGTTTTTATTTTATTGTAATCCACTTAGCGATCCCTTCGGCCAATAAAGTGGAATATCAGTTTAATCAATACATAAATTGCTGCCCATAGATGCTCTCTCACACATGTGCATACATTTTTCTCCGGGATCACATTGTTCCCAAATCACAATTGGGTCAGATTTCAGCCCCTACAGCACCACAGTAATATTGATTTTACCCAGACTGTCAGCCAGAATGAACGGAATGGGAATTGTCCATCGGGAATTCTCGTCTCCCAGTGCGCTGCGTTTCCTCTGTTGAAAATGGGGAAATATGATTGGAGTCTGCTGTTCAGCACTCAAAATACTTCCATGTTGAAGAAATGTAAGAGATTAAAAAAACAAAACTCACAGGTAGTAAAATATCCCCCTGGAAGAGGCTGAGGCCAGCAGCTAGAAGGAAAGGTATGAAGATGGCAATGATTTGATCAAATGCAAAAAACAAAGTCTCAGATCATTTAAGCTAATTTTTCACTATCTGAAGACGTTTACAGAACAATTTTGACAAAATTACTACTATTTCTATACAAAAAAGTAAAACTAAAATATGCAATACGGCCATAAATAAGAATGCCATTCTTAAGTAGAAGAGAAACAAAATAATGCTGGATGTATCTGAATCTAATCTAATCTATCTCTGCTTTTATCAGAGCTGTAACAGAGCCCGGGTTTGCAGGGATGTAGCACCAGCACAAAAAGACTGCAATTACAGCTTTCGATGGATAACCACACATCTCCTGTAATGCAGTGGAATGAGAATCTTACAACACATTTGAACAGGTTGTATCTAAGTGCCATCTGCAAATGGCCCCTTGCTTGACTATTTGGTCTACCTTTGTTGAATTTTTTGATACATAGAAAGCTGTATTTTCACACACACACACACACACACACACACACACACACACACACAGAGAGAGAGAGAGAGAGAGAGAGAGAGAGAGAGAGAGAGAGAGAGAGACACTCCAGACTTAGTGTTTGCACCAGACAGACTTTTCTGCCTTACTACTGAAGGCACTTTGGAGGAGAGAGAAAAAGGCTGCAGAAGGTTCAGGATAACTCATATCCTGGCTGCTTTTGCTCCCTCATCTCCCCGCCAGCTGGAATTCCCTCTTTCTCTGGAATCAAGCCCTGGACTCTCCATGCCAGCTGCAAGAGGATAGGGGAGAGGCAGTTGGGCCTCTGCATTATCCTGGGTGCCCTGCTACACCCCCTTACTCAATTCGACTGAGAATGTATCTCTTGAATACCTGAAAATTGGAGTGCATTAGTCTCCCAGGTATCTTAACCTAGCTCACCAAGTTATTACACCATGCACTGTACATAGGCAATGTCCTTTCCATCAAAGCCAAAAAACAAGTAAAGCCACTGGGTGAAATGGCAGAATGTTGATAGAGATTCAGGGAACAGGATCCCTCCTCATTCTGTATACCAGTTTAAAAATATCATTTATGGGTTTGGGAGGGGAAGGGGGATGATACCAACCTAACATTTTTCTCAGTGCAACCCACCTGAATTTATTTCTGGAATATCTTCTCTTAGTTCACCAGCATCAGCATCTATTCAATGAAAAGAATATTATTAATTTTTTAGTTCAGACTTTTCATTCTTAACTCTCAAAGAAGGGAGAAATAAATATTAAGAGAGAGCATTCAAGAATTCTTACCATCCTTCTGTTGTAGGTGCTTTACCTAAAAAAGAAGGAAAATTATTCTTTTCCTTGTCAATCACAGAAAGACAAAATAAGGTTGACATGTTTGCACTGAGACTTACTGAAAATGATGTGCAACACGCAAAAATTATTATGAAGCTGAAGAGTGGGAAGGCTCTATAAAAAGACGTGGCTGACATGGCTGGAACAAACAGATCTCATCTCTTATATAAAGCAACTTGTAGCGGCAATACTTTAGGGAAACTGGGAGCTTTCTTCCCTCCGCCCCCACCTACTGGACATTGCCAAAATATGAGCAACCAGTTGTCACTTCATAGCATTTTCAAACCATGGGTTTAAGCCCACATGCAAAAACACTTCAATGGGATATGGCTGCAAAAGGGGAAAATGCTATTTTAGGCTGCATTAATAGAAGGATCACTTCCAAATCACATGAGGTACTGGTTCCCTTCTGTTCAGCTTTAGTAAACCCTATCTTGAGTATTCAGTTCAGTTCTGGGTATCACTCCAAGAAAGATGCAGACAACCTGGAAAAAGGGCAGCAAAGATAATCAGGAGACTGGAACTAGTGCCCTGTGAGGAGAGATTGAAAGAACTGAACATGTTTGTCCTGGAGAAGGCTGAAGGGAGATAGGAGAGCACTTTTCAAATACTTGAAAGGCTGTCAAATAGAGGAGGGCCAGGATCTCTTCTCAATCATCCCCAGAGTGCAGGACATGGAATAATAGGGTTAAATTGTAGGAAACCAGATTCTAGCTGGGCACCAGGAAAAGCTTCCTGACTGTTAGAACAGAACAGCAATGGGACCAATCACCTGGGCATATTGTGGGTTCTCCACAGAGAGCCATCTGCCAGGGATGCTTCAACTTGGAGTCCTGCACTTAGCAGGGGGCTGGACTCAATGGTCCAGAAGGCCCCTTCCAACTCTTCCTATTCTATGATTCTATGATAGGTAGGTGAGTTGAAATAGGCATAAGATGTTCGTAAACATTTCCATGAAAGTGAGATTATATCTGCATTTGAAGTGACCATATTCTGAACAAAACATTCATTTCTTCAAGTGCCTCTTTGATTAAATCAAGACACACAGTCAATTCTGTCTTGAGCACCAGATGTCCTGGGGAATGTAATTAATACTGGTTATGTGGGAAGAGAGCTCTGTTGGATATGTGAATGCATTCCTTCTTCACAGTGGCGATAAGGCCTGATCAGGTAAATCATCCTCTGAAGAGAACCTGTAAGAACGGTCCTGAAATTTTACAGGGGCAGCATTGACCATAATGCTAAGCATTTTGCTCAGCTGTTCTTCTTGCTATAGTTCTTATATATTTAGGTTCCTAATATGCTCTGATGTACTTTCATTGTTTCTGATTAAACCCAGCCCTCTAGAATGATTTCAGGTCAGAAGATGAACTTTTGAACACAATATTTAAAATTCATCTTTCATATCACTGTGACTGCACAAATCAATTTCTACAGTCATCTTTCAAATGGCCAAACATAAATTGTTGACTCAGCTGTAGAATAGCTAAAACAGATTTCAATTTCTACAGAAATCTCTCCTTAGCATTTCGGGAGTGAGCCAACTCAGCAGCATGGTAACAAGAGCAGAAGAAAGTAATTCCCACTATGGCTAGTTATTAACCAGGAGCATTAAAAGATTTGGTGGTAGGATAAGGGCAAAGAGGAATAACCAGCAAAGAGGAAATGCATCACCAAAAAGGAGGACAAAAGAAGGTACTGGTCTCCATAAAATTAGCAAATGCTGAGGTATATGTTGTTGTTGTTAGTCTTGGAAGTCGTGTCCGACCCATCGTGACCCCATGGACAACATTCCTCCAGGCCTTCATGTCCTCCATCATCCTCCGGCGTCCACTCAAACTCACACCAACAGCTTCAGTGACTCCAACTAGCCACCTCATTCTCTGCCATCCCCTTCTTCTTTTGCCATCTATTGTTCGCAGCATTAGTCTCTTCTCCAGGGAGTCCTTCCTTCTCATTAGGTGGCCAAAGTATTTGAGTTTCATCTTCAGGATCTGGCCTTCTAAAGAGCAGTCAGGGTTGATCTCTCTAGGACTGAACAGTTTGATCGCCTTGCGGTCCAACGGACTCACAGGAGCCTCCTCCAGCACCACAATTCAAAGGCCTCAGTCTTTTGGCACTCAGCCTTCCTTATGGTCCAGCTTTCACAGTCATACATTGCAACTGGGAAAGCCATAGCCTTGACTATACGCACTTAAGTTGGCAGGGTGATGTCTCTGCTTTATAGTATGCTGTCTAGATTTGTCATAGCTTTCCTCCGCAGGAGCAAGCATCATTTAATTTCCTGGCTGCAGTCCCACGTCTGTGGTGATCTTAGAGCCTAGGAAAATAAAATCTGTCACTACCTCCATTTCTTCCCCATCTATTTGCCAGGAAGTGAGAGGACCGGATGCCATGATCTTAGTTTTCTTAATGTTGAGTTTCAAGCCAACTTTTACACTCTCCTCCTTTACCCGCATCAAGAGGCTCTTTAGTTCCTCTTCACTTTTTGCCATGAGAGTGGTATCATCTGCATATCTGAGGTTGTTGATATTTCTCCCAGCAATCTTAATTCCAACTGGTGATTCATCTAGCCCCGCCTTTCTCATGATGTGCTCTGCATATAAGTTAAATAGGCAGGGCAGCAATATACAGCCTTGCCAAACTCCTTTCTCAATTTTGAACCAATCAGTGGTTCCATGTCCAGTTCTCACTGTTGCTTCTTGACCCGCCTATAGGTTTCTCAAGAGACAAATAAGATGGTTTGGTACTCCCATCTCTTTATGAACTTGCCACAATTTGTTGTGATCCACACAATCAAAGGCTTTAGCATAGTCAATGAAGCAGAAGTAGATGTTTTTCTGGAACTCCCTAACTTTCTCCATGATTCAGCGTATGTTGGCAATTGGTCTCTAGTTTCTCTCCCTCTTCAAAATCCTGCCTGTACTTCTGGTAGTTCTCCGTCCACATATTGCTGGAGCCTAGCTCGTAGGATTTTGAGCATAACTTTGCTAGCATGTGAAATGAGTGCAATGGTGCGGTAGTTTGAACATTCTTTGGCATTGCCCTTCTTTGGGATCGGAATGTAAACTGACCTTTCCAATCCTGTGGCCACTGTTGAGTTTTCCAAATTTGCTGGCATATTGAGTGTAGCACTTTTACAGCATCATCTTTTAAGATTTTGAATAGCTCAGCTGGAATACTGTCACCTCCACTAGCTTTGTTGTTGCTCAGACTTCCTAAGGCCCATTTGACTTCACATTCCAGGATGTCTGGCTCGAAGTCAGTGACCACCCCATCGTTGTTATCAGGGAAGTTAAGCTCTTTCTTGTATAGTTCTTCTGTGTAATCTTGCCACCTCTTCTTAATCTCTTCTGCCTCTGTGAGGTCCCTGCCAATTTGGTCCTTTATCATGCCCATCTTTGCATGAAACGTTCCCTTCATATATCCAGTTTTCTTGAAGAGATGTCTGATCCTATTCTATTGCTTTCTTCTATTTCTTTGCACTGTTCATTTAAGAAGGCATTCTTATCTCTTCTAGCTATTCTCTGGAATTCTGCATTCAGTTGGGTGTATCTTTCTCTTTCTCCCTTGCCACAGTCAGCTCCTGGTCTAGTTTTTACTGACTGTATAGAGCTTCTCCATCTTTAGCTGCAGAGCATATAGTCAACTGTCTGTTGATGTCCATGTGTAGAGTCGTCTCTCGGGTTGTCGGAAAAGAGTGTTTGCTATGACCATCGTATTCTCTTGACAAAATTCTACCAGCCTGTGCCCTGCTTCATTTTGTACTCCACGGCCAAACTTGCCTGTTATTCCAGTTTTCTTTTGGTTTCCTACTTTAGCATTCCAATCCCCCATGATGATAAGGACATCATTTTTGGGTATTAATTCAAGAAGGTGTTGTAGACCTTCACAGAACCGGTCAACTTCAGCCTCTTCAGCACCAGTGGTTGGGGCATAGACTTGGACTATTGTGCTGTTGAATGGTTTCCCTTGGATTCGAACTGAGATCATTCTGTCATTTTGGGGATTGTATCCCAGGACTGCTTTTCCTACTCTTTTATTGACTATGAAGGCTACTCCATTTCTTCTAAAGGATTCTTGCCCTCAGTAGCATACCTGATGGTCATCTGAATTAAATTCACCCATTCCTGTCCATTTTAGTTCACTGATTCCTAAGATGTCGATGTTCAGTCTTGTCATCTCGTTGACCACGTCCAGCTTGCTTTGATTCATGGATCTTACGTTCTAGGTTCCTGTGGAGTATAGATCTTTGCAGCATCGGACTTTCCTTTCACCACCAGATACATCTGCAACTGAGTGTCCTTTCAGCTTTGACCCAGTTGCTTCATTCTTTCTGGCGCTACTAGTACTAGCCCTCTGCTCATCCCCAGTAGCATATTGGACACCTTCCAACCTGAGGGGCTCATCTTCCGGCGTCTTATGCCCCTCTTTTTGCCTTTTGGTACTGTCTGTTGGGTTTTCATGGCTAGGATACTGGAGTGTGTTGCCATTTCCTATATATAGATGCAAATTTAGAAACTAACCCTGATTATGAAAATAGAAATTCAGCACACTATGGCTACATTCACACATAATGACAAACCATGGCAGGGGTGGCTTGTATGTGTGCATACTGGAAACATGGTAAAACATGGCATGTTATGTTACCTTGAATCACCATGGAGAACCAACAGTCTGTGGTAAGGTTTTCACATTTCCGCATGCTTCCCATTATGAGTGAAGTCAATTACAATGTTCTTCCATGGTTTGCCCATTTTGGCCTGCAAGTTTGGAGGCAAGCCTGTTGCAGTGGCTTCTGCCACCATCTTTTGCTGCCCTGTTTGCCTATTAACAGCTGAGTTGCTAGCAGAGAGGGTGCTGATTGGCTGCTTCTGTGTTCCCAGTCCTTCCTCCCAGCACACACTCTCCAATGCCCAGCCGCCCCACTGCCACCACATCTGCTGTCTGGCAGATTGCCTGCCTACCCACCACCTAGCTGGTCACCCACTTACACGCAACCTGGCCAAATGCCTGCCTTCCCACCTCCTGGCCAGGTCACTCACCTCACTTGCTGCCAGGCCAATCACAGAGATGTCCGGGTCACATGTAAGCACTCTGCTATTGCCTCATGCGCAGCTACCCTTCACACGAACTCTTGCATGCTGCCCCCAAGTCCCTGCCTCTCACACGAATCCACACGCACCATCCCCATTTTCTGTGCAAGGGATGGGACAGCGTGGGAGAGCAAGCACAAAGGGTGGGAGGTCATGAGACAATAGCATTGCCTTGCTGCAGAATCCAGGCATCTTGGACATTAGCCAGGCAGCGGGAAGGTACAAGGTGGGTGACTCGGCCAGAAGGTGGGTAGGTGGATGATTGGCCAGGCAGCAGACAAGGTGACGGTGGGGTGGGAGGGCACTGAGGAGCACCTGCCAGGAGGGAGGACAGAAAGTGTCTCCAGCAACGGTGAGTGTGGGGCGGCACCACTGTGCTGCTCTAATGAGTAGACAGGGCCTCCACGGAACAGCAGGGTGAGGAAAAGCAGCAACCAGCTGAGAATGTGCCCAGGCAGGTGTGTGAGCCAATGGGGGAGAGGCAGGAGACAAAGGCAGGAGTGTGTGTCCTGGGATTGGTTCCCAGCTGCAGGGGCTGATGGGATGCATGTCAGCCATCCAGAGGGAAGATGGAGGTGCATGGAGACTACTCATGGGTAGTTACTTAGCAAATGTGTACAGGATACAAGGTGAGAAAGGTAACTGCACAGTAACCATTTGTGTTATGTGTGAACAGCTCCTACAAAAGTTTATTTTCTTAGACAGACACCATGAATAAAATGCAACAAAAGACAGCAGTATCATTTTCAGTGAACTCAGTGAATTTTTCCCACTGTTTCTTATCCGAACAGTGTCTTTTGATTGGTCCTGCATGGGGTCACTTGGAAGCACTCAACAGTCCAGCAGTCTGCAAATAAACAGGTCTGTATGCTGGAAGCAGAAGTCAGTGGTGGATGGATGCATGGCTGATCCTTCCTGATGCCTTCTCACAGACTTCCATGTTAACATTGAAATAAATTTAACAGTTAACTAAATAATGAAGGCTATGGCATCGCGTATGGCCTTGTCATTCAGAGAATCTCATCTCTAACTTTATTTAGGATATATACCTATGGTAGAAAGCCTGAAAATACATTAGCAGTGCAATATTAGAAGCCAAAATGTGTGGAGGATTTTTTGGGGTTTGTTTTTTGTTTTTGGACTTGTACTAGTTCGGGATACATGATTATCTATCTGACTGCCCAAAAACCTAGTTAGTTGAAGCACTCTGGAAAAATCTTGAGGGGTTTTTCATGTGTTCAGTGGTAATACTTGAGCTAATCAATTCCTCCATATTTCTTCTGATCCATATCAGTTTCTTGCTTTCCCAAGTGGGGGAGGAAATAATGATCTTGGGGAAAGTGGGAACCAGACAGCTGGGGACAGGAGATGGAAACAGGTGGTGAAAGCACTGACCTGACTACAGTCTCTGGCTTTAAATCATGCAGGCATGGTGTGGGGTCCCAACCTGAGTAAGGGATGTCGAAAGGAGACCCTGCTAACCTTGAACTGGGGGTCTTCTAATTCAAAAAGGGGTGCTCACTGTTTTAGATGCCTCACAAAGAGCCAACTTTTATTTTACTTTTATCTATATATTATATATTTTAATATATATATACACACTACTCTATTCCCATAGTCCCAGGGTGGTTTACAAGAAATTTTAAACAGATTGCTATATCTAGGTACATAGGTTTTGCCCCTAAAAGCTTGGTATTGTTTTTATGAAGAGAATTGCAACTCTTAGGCGCTGTAGAAATAATAAAAACAAAACAGGTGCTGCCTATGCACTTATAAAACAGGAGTCCATGCCTGTTTTGTCTTTTCTATTTATTCTACCACTGTTTCAAAAATCCAAACATGCTGAAACCGCTATCATCATGGCAGAATATATTATGAAAAAGAAGTAGATACATTGATATTAATTATAGTAACATATTTTACACGCATAATTGAAGTTTCCTTGGCACAGAATTTGTGGAGCATTTTAAATGTCTGTGCTGCTGGTTACAGATGGTTCTAACTATACAATCTGATGCTTACTTAAACTTCTGTAATGTTTTGAATAATTTTATTTTAAATGCTACATGTTAGATATTGTGTGTTGTCTGTGCTGTTATGATACATCTTCCACAGTTGCCCAGGTACCAGCTTGTTTTGGGGATGGAGCAGGTTAGTGGAGGTAGCAGGAGGGACTGGCCCAGTCCCAGGAATGGGCACTGTGCTGCATTTCTGGGGTTGCTTTCAGAAGCATCAGCTGTGCCTCTGCTGATAACCTTGTGCCTGCAGGACCCACTGCCAGTGCAGCACCACCACCATTATTGCCATCTTCTTGAACCACTTCAAACACAATGTATTTGTAGGATGCACGCAGCAACAATGGCTATAAGATATGACTTGCATAACCACGAAGTGAGGTACAGTCTCAAACGTCAAAAGAACTACATGTGAATCAAGGCATTTGTATACTATTTTGATATTTGCTTCTTTTCAAACCATCAATCCACAATTCATATTGTGCCAGAAAACTGGCCTCCAAGAAGTCACAGGAGATACACACTTGCTTGGGGAGAACACTGATATATGAAGTCAGAAAGCTTATAAAACGCTACCTGGATCTTCAACAACTGCGAATACAAGAAAAAAGAGAAAATATGGGGTTATTGTTCTTGCTTGCATAAGCCAGGGGACCTCTTTAGCACGCAGCTCAACATCTTTTCTGCACTCCAGTAAGATGGGCTTGCATGTGGAAACAGGCTTCCATACATGCAACTGATGCTGGCATGTATCTATAAAGCTAGATGGTGGTCACTTGTTACACTACTGTGTTCAAAGCCAACATTTCCCAGAATTACTCCAGGACATTATGCAGGCTCAGTCCTAATGGCCTTTGACAGAACCTCTTAGACCACAAGGTGTTTTACATATGCATGTTCATCACACTCTCTTTAAAGCGTATTCAACTCATCTGTCATTCGATCGCTGCAGCTACTTTGACGGACTTGCTTCCCATCTTCTCTTGGTCTCTTTCTTTGCTTCTCCTATGCACTGTCTTGGGCCGGGTAGACCTGGAGCATAACAGTCCTCTTGCTCTCTATGGATTCCTCCAAGTCTCACTGCTAGTCTCACCTTTGCAGTGTGAGTCCAGAGCACAGAGAGGCTGCGACTGTAAAAACCGTGGAAGTGCTGCTGCAGGGTCCCTGGCTTAGAGCAAGTCAGACTGCTGACACCCAGGTAGATCCTTGTGCTTCTGTCTCCCGAGCCACCAGCCACATGGCTGTGCACAGCCCTGTCCTCCTCCTTCGAGTCAGTCTGACTCAGACTACTGTGCCATACGGTGGCTGTGCAAGCTGAATTCTCACCTGCACTCCAGTCCTACATCTGTTTCTGCTCTCTCTCTTTAGAGAGTCTGTCCTCCTCTCAGAGTCAGAATTCCCAAGAATGAACTTATCTTTTCCTCCCAAGCCCTCCTCTCTTCCTATGCTTTTCCTTTGTACTGAAAATGTTGTCCACCCTGTTGAACAGACACACTGCCGCACTCTCCTTCTCAAGCCTGCTAGCAAGTCTTTGTCCAGCTGGGGCAAGCGATTCAGAAGGTGTGGGGACACTTTGAACTATGGGAAGCCTGTTGGCTGTCTTCCCCCTGGAAAAAATTCTGCCACTGAATGGGCAGTGAATTTTGGCAGCAATTCATCCGAGACAAAAAGCTGCTTTTCACATTAAAAGTAGGAAAGCACACAGATTGCTTTGATGCATATAATAAGCACACATTTGCATGAAAACAAGGTAAGCACTGCACATGCATGTTTTAAAGTGAAAACTCAGCTAAAAAAAAAACTGCCACTGCACTACTTGGGAAAGAACAGGACACGGATTCATTTTCTGTGGGCTTGTTAAAGGCAGGGTGGTGCAGTGGTTAGGAGTGCAGGACTGGGGCTCAGTTGATCTGGGTTTGAGTCCCTGCTCAGCCACAGAGCTCACGGGGTGGCTTTGGACCAGGCACAGACTCTCAGCCCAACCTACCTCACAGGGTTGTTGCTCTGATGACACGACTGAGAGGAGAATTACATAAGCTGCCTTGCGTTACTTGGAAAGAAAGGGTGGGATATAAATATTATAAATAAATAGCAACATGGCTTAGGGAGAAAGGATGCCTTGATGATAATTAAAAGAAAACTGGCCCAGCTCTGATAAATAATCACACAATGGGAATACTTTACATCTTCCCCAAGTTTCCTACCATCATATTTTCTAGAGGTCAATAAAATATTGGCAATAACATGGAACGTTACCTTCAAAATTTACAAAGACCATCAATGTATCATCTTTAAGGAAACTCTTCCGATGTAATTCACTGTGTGGTAAGATGTAGTTCCAGCCCCAGAATGGACCTATGTAGCGGCCATATAAAGGATCTACAGATCCAGTAATAGAGGGTTTATCCCAAAGTAGTTTGCCATCTGCAATACAAAAAACAAGACCATAAAGATATCAAAATAGATCAGTGTGCCCTGAGAGTGACTTTCAGCATGTGTGGAAGGATTCGAAATCCTAATAATGATATATAGACGTTGAACGAGCACTAAAAGTGCAATACCTAGCCTACGTGCAATTGAGAAGAAGGGCAACCTTTCAGGGTGTGCTTTGCTGCAGAAGAGGTAATTGCATTGCTGCTGCTTTTTTCTTAAACACTCTGTCCTTGGACATGCATGCTCATGTCCAGGCCTGACTGCTAGGGCTGAAACAGACCAGGCTAGCCTTATGAAGAGAAACAAGCGAAATCTTCTCATCCTGTTTCTGTACACCATCTCACCCAGTTTTGAAACTGCCTTGATATATGGTAGATGCTAAGACAGAGGCAGGGTGAGAAGATTTCACTTGTTTCTCTTCATAAAGCTAGCCATTTACCGTATTTTTTGCTCTATAAGACGCACTTTTTCCCCCCTCAAAAGTAAGGGGAAATGTCTGTGCGTCTTAGAGCAAATATATGTGTGCAGTAAGTCTGTCAGATGTGCAGCCCATGGGGAAGTGATGGGGAATGTGCCTGTGATTATGTGCCCATTTGATTCAGAAGGTTTTTTTTCTTGTTTTCCTCCTCTAAAAACTAGGTGCGTCTTATAGAGCGAAAAATACGGTAGATAGAATTCTGTAGATCTCCAAGGCTTTTATCAGTTGTGATAACACCTGATAGGGATAGGAATTGGAGCTGTGTCTATCTTGATTCTTGGCAGGTCCATTCCAAAAGGTGGTTCTGGCAGCTGTGTGCTACAGGAGGCTACAAGTCCCCCCTCCCCATATTTAATAGCACTATGAAACTGTCAGGGGACAAGTATTCTAGAAATGGGAGGAAGTATCACCTTTTCATCCAATCTCTTGAATATTGCTGCTTGGCATATTTGGCAGCACCTACTTGTTTCCCAGAAAATGTTTTTGTATATTCAGGTAATGTTTGGCATCTTGCTTGGGTTTTATTTATTGGCTGGACTTGTCTTGTTCATTTTTAGGTGTTGGTACTTTTGCAGAATCTGCTGATGTTGTAAGACATGCTGCCTTAAATGCAGGACTCAACAAGGCAGGATCGGGCTTAGTCTGATTTAGACACAACTTTGCTAACCTCTCAGGGGTTGCTCACTCCAGATTTATATTAAAATTTGGCCCAGATTTTCTTTTGAACTGGCATTCCTAGTTCACTGATACTATAAAATATTAGAAGATGAACAATAACTAGTTTTTAGTATCATCTTATTTCCTTGTAGGATCCAATATGTTTGCTAGTCAATTTTCACATTCATAATTGCCAGAAGTTTTTCTCTGTCTAATGGAAACAACATATAGATGCCAATAATCTCCTAATTATTAGGAATGTGCACAAGAAAAATTCTGGATGAAAAATACATTCAGAAAATATTGGGAAGCAGAAGCTAACAAAAATCAGCTATATAGTCTAGGACTAGATCTTTATATATTGCTCCCCAGGGAAATGCATCTAATGCCATCCCTGACATCTTTTCAGTGCCACGAAAAACCCTTTTTGTTTCTAAAATATTTAAATAGCTAATCCCATGTGTCTTCCTGCTGAACCACTTTAAATCTTGTTCATAAATTGCTGTTGTGCCTGCTTGTTTGTCCTCGACTTTTGCCTTACTGTATTTCAGGCATATATTGTTTGTACTGTTTTAATGAGAATTTTAAGAATTGCTTTTATGATTTCAATATCTGTAAACTGCCCAGAGAGTCCTGTGGGCTATGGGATGGTACAGAAATGCAGTAAATAAATAATGTGTTCACAAAAGGACAGACTGCATGGATTGGAACACCGCAGAGTTAAGTAGCTGTCAGCGTTTGGTATCTTATGCCTGCCCCATTGGAGGGCCCTCTCTATGCCTCATCTGAAGAGGAGGCCCACTTCATTGCAGGAGCAGGAGCAGCTGCATGGCTCTAGCCCTCGGACTCCTCCCTCTGGCTTCAGGTGGAAGTGACTGTGTAGCCTCCTGCTTTTTAGGGAGGCCAGAGACTAGAGAGGCTTCCAGCCCACCTACACAGACATCAGGTTTATCCCAGGCTGCACACACGAAGGACCCCCTTAATACACATGCTAAGTTTGTGGAGAGACTGCTAGCAGGCAGGCAGAGAATCTCATGCAGAGACACAGAGGGCACTTCTTAGACTTACTGTGAATTTGGTTAGGATCTGTGACAAAGCTCCGACTTGCGGACATCCTTTGGGTGATATCGGGATTTTGATCCACTATGGTGAATGTCACCTGCCTATCTCCTGCTGGCCACTCTAGGCCTCCATCATTTTCAGCGCTGCACAAAGCAAACATGATTCCCAGGTAACTTCCACTTGAGTTGACTGGGCCATGAGGAGACAGACTGAGCACAAAGCAATAGCCCTCCGAGTTAAAGAATACCGGACTGGCAATATAATCTCCTTTGGCTGTATTTTGTAAAGCAGAGGTAAAGTTTCTTATCTGCCAGACGCCAGTGGGGCACTGTGTTTCCGTCAGACTAATGTCATCAATGTTAATGCCACCAGTAGAAGTCGATGGATCTCCTTTAATGCCATGAAAAACATAGCGGAATTTGGCTTGGCTGTTAAAAGGAATGTTTGCAAACTTCCAGTGCTGTTCTCCATCAGCTGTAAAAGGAAAGAGAAAAACCTGGGGTTTTTTTGGGTTGGGGTTTTTTTGTTTTCTGTTTTTGTTTTGCAGCATCAATGCCTGTTAAAGCTGCAATCCTGTGAACATCTGAGTATCAGTTCTATAGAATTCAGTAACATACATACAGAACTGAAAGGTCTCCAAATTGCAGCTGTTTTGCTGAAACCCAGCTAGAACACTTATTTTCCCCACCAGCCTATTAAAACCACTCCTCCTGGCCCCAGCAAGTACACACTCATATATATACCAGAGAAAAAAACACAGCATATAAAAAAGCACTAGACAGCTGGTCTGAAGAAATCTTGGGATATCATGGCAGACATAGCACAAGGAGGATGGAGTGGAGTGAGCATCATGGGACAAGTTAGTGAGTGGAGTAATTGTTGTTAGTTCCGAAGTCGTGTCCGACCCTTCACGACCCCATGGACAACATTCCTCCAGGCCTTCCTGTCGTCGCCATCCCCCGGAGTCCACCTGACAGCTGCTTTCACAGAGCTCTGTTGTTCTGGACATGGAAATTCTCATTGCAGAGGTCCCTGCAGTGGAAGTCCCATGACTAGACCCAATGATTAGGCTCAGAGCATAAAAAATCCAAAGGATATCTAGCAAGCTTGCTGGAAATTAAAGCATACATTTGAATGCTTAGTTGTAAATAAGGTTTTAAGGGAAACTTCAAGACTTACCAGAGAGTGAGCGCAGTTGCGCCATCTTCCTAATATTTCCACTTCCATCATCTCTTTTAATCCAGACAATGAGTTTATCTTTCAGGCTGCCATCAATTTTGTAAAAGAACTGGAGGCACTTTGTGTTCCTCCTTGGGTAGAAAATACGGGATTCCAAAAGAGCTGTTTCATTTGGATGCCCTACTGTGGTATTGAAGTGCATAAAATAGCCCCTCTCTAGAAAGTAGATGCAAATACATGGTTTAACATTATAATTAGACTTGTGTGACTTTTGGACAATAATTGTAGAAGCTAACCACAACATGAGTATCTTCATGATGACTATAGAACACAAGGGAAAGCAAAATACTAGTCGGGCTCTGACATCAAGAAAGCTATTTCCTGTGCACTGCACACTGAGCCGTCCCTACCATCTCATGCCCTGCCCAGGACTGCTGCTTACCTTCTGCTGCTTCTAGTGTAGGGGAGCATCACCAACAGCAGTGGAGCAGAAATGACAAACAGACTTCCCTGTGCTGTGACTCATCGGCAGCTCATACCAGGTGGGCTGCAAATGGCTCTTACCTGGAGTCACCTCCACACAGGGTGATGGGGGGGGGGGCTGCCATTTTGGAGGGCACCACAAGGGCCACCCTACATCTCCATGCTCCCATGCTGCCTTGAAGAGCCACTGCTGAGACCACTATCGAAGAAATATGCTTTGGACTTGGAAGGCCCCAATAACTTTAGGCCGCGGCAACTGTTTCCTTCCTGGTCAAGTCCTAGAGCAGGTGGTGGCCAACCAACTTCAGGCACTCTGCTCCTCTGGGTGAACTTTCAGGCAGGAATCAGGCCAGTTACTGATACAGACACGGCTTGGGTTCCCTTGCACGATGACGTATGCCAGCAAAGTGACAAGGGGAGTATGACCCTCTTGATACCCCTGAATTTCTCAGCAGCTTTAAGTACCATCAGCCACAGTATCCTTCTGCTGTAGGGGGATGAGTTGGAAGTGGACATTATTGCATTGCCGTGGTCCAGATCCAATGTGGAGGGCTGGCTCCTGAAGGTGGTGCTTGTCATTGCTCAGCTTTGTAGACTGTGGGGCTCCTAAGTGGTCATTTTTGACCCCCATTATATTTAACTCCTACATGAAATCATTGACAGCCAGACTAAAAACAGGAACCAGATGGTCCAACTTATAACATCTATCCTGGGCTACTTGAATTGATGCAGGGTGCTGGTTTTAACAAATCTTGGGGCTACCATACCTGATGAATACTTCTCCCAGCCACAGTGTACCCAGATACTATGCTCAGCAACTGAGGTCTTCCACAAAATGACACCTCCAAAGGTGCCAACAAGAAGGAAGGCTTTCTCTGTGGTAGCCTCCAAATTATAGAATGATCTTCCACCGAAGCCTAACTGCACCATCTTTTTGGCACCAGGTTAAGACTGCCCGCTTTGCTGAGGCATTTACCAGCTCCAAATAGCACATGAGGGTGTGGATATTGTCAGTTGTTTTTTTAGCAGGCCCAGCAGTATGGACTAGTTTTATCTCGATAAATTGTTGAAATGTGTTTTTAAACTGTGTAAGATGTTTTAATGGTGGTATATTATTCCAAAAGATATAGAAAAAATAGATAAGAACTATAATGGAAAATGCTGGAAATGTAACAGGGTGGATGGGACTTTCTACCATATGTGGTAGACTTGTAAAACTATTAAAAGATTTTGGAAATTAATACATGCAGAAATATAAAAAACCATTAAAACAAAGTTTCCTATGAATCCTAAGAATATGCTTTCGAATATAATGCCAGAGACTTTTTCAAAGAATATGTCAGAGTTATTTAAATACATGACAACTACAGCAAGAATTACAATTGCCTCAAATGGAAAAGAGCAGAATCCCCAGCAATTGAAGATTGGAAAAATAAGTTGGCAGAATACACAAAGATGGCAAAATTAACCAATTATGTAAATTGAAGTCCAATTGAAGAATTTAATGTCAAATGGAAATTCTATTATACTCAGTATAATTAATAGGCTCCTTCATGGATCACTGCCTTGTTGTGGCGAAGGGGCTTGCATAGCTTAATGAAGCTATGAGCTATGCCATGCAGGGCCACCCAAGACGGACAGGTCATAGCAGAGAGCTCTGACAAAATGTGATCCACTGGAGAAGGAAATGGCAACCCACTCCAGTATCTTTGCCATGAAAACCCCATGGACAGTACCAAAAGGCAAAAAGATATGACGCCGGAAGATGAGCCTCTCAGGTCAGAAGGTGTCCAATATGCTACTGGGGAAGAGCGGAGGACTAGTACTAGTAGCGCCAGAAAGAATGAAGCGCCTGGGTCAAAGCCGAAAGGACACTCAGTTGCAGATGTATCTGGTGGTGAAAGGAAAGTCCGATGCTGCAAAGATCTATACTCCATAGGAACCTGGAATGTAAGATCCATGAATCAAGGCAAGCTGGATGTGGTCAAACAAGAGATGACAAGACTGAACATCGACATCATAGGAATCAGTGAATAAAATGGACAGGAATGGGTGAATTTAATTCAGATGACCATCAGGTATACTACTGCAGGCAAGAATCCCTCAGAAGAAATGGAGTCGCCTTCATAGTCAATAAAAGAGTAGGAAAAGCAGTACTGGGATACAATCTCCAAAATGACAGAATGATCTCAGTTTGAATCCAAGGCAAACCATTCAACATCACAGTAGTCCAAGTCTATGCCCCAACCACTGATGCTGAAGAGGCTGAAGTTGACCGGTTCTATGAAGGCCTACAACACCTTCTAGAATTAACACCCAAAAATGATGTCCATATCATCATGGGGGATTGGAATGCTAAAGTAGGAAGCCAAAAGATAACCAGAATAACAGGCCTTGGAGTACAAAATGAAGCAGGGCACAGGCTGGTAGAATTTTGTCAAGAGAATACGATGGTCATAGCAAACACTCTTTTCCAACAACCCAAGAGATGACTCTACACATGGACATCACCAGATGGTCAACACAGAAATCAGCTTGACTATGTGCTCTGCAGCCAAAGATGGAGAAGCTCTATACAGTCAGTAAAAAATAGACCAGGAGCTGACTGTGGCTCAGCTCATGAGCTTCTTGTTGCAAAATTTAGGCTTAAATTGAAGAAAGTAGGAAAAAGCACTAGGCCACTCAGGTATGACCTGAATCATATCCCTGATGAATATACAGTAGAGGTGACAAATAGATTTAAGGAATTAGATCGGATAGACAGAGTGCCTGAAGAACTTTGGATGGAGGTTCACAACATTGTACAAGAGGTAGCAACTAAAACCATCCCAAAGAAAAAAAATCGCAAGAAAGCAAAATGGCTGTCTGAGGAAGCTTTACAAATAGCTGAGGAAAGAAGGGAAGTGAAAGGCAAGGGTGAAAGGGAAAGATACACCCAACTGAATGCAGAATTCCAGAGAATAGCTAGAAGAGATAAGAATGCCTTCTTAACTGAACAGTGCAAAGAAATAGAAGAAAGCAATAGAATAGGGAGGACCAGACATCTCTTCAAGAAAACTGGATATATGAAGGGAACGTTTCATGCAAAGATGGGCATGATAAAGGACCAAATTGGCAGGGACCTCACAGAGGCTAACAACAACAACAATATAATTAGTAGGATGTAAAATGAATGTCTTTTAAAAGTTTTTGTTTTGTTCTGTTTTGTTTTCTCGCAAAGTCGTGCCCGACCCATCAAGACCTCATGGACAACATTCTTCCAGGCCTTTAAAAAGTAGTTGATCGTTATCGTTGATATGAAGCAATTGGAAAATATGTTAGCATATAGGATAATAGTTCCCTTTGCTGAACTTCCGTAGAGTACTGAATGATGGAAAAATAGGTATGTTTGCTATCTTTGAAATTTGCCGGTTGAAATTTATTGGTTATACTTGTTCAAAATCCCTTGGCAACTTTATTCTATTTTAGTTTATTTTACTTTTACATATATACCTTTCTTCTTTCTGTATTCTATTTATGTCAAGAAAATAATAAAAATAACACTAAAACAAATGTGTTTTTAAACTTTTTAGTGTGATTTCATGGCATTTTAAAATCATTTTATATTGTCTTTTCAGTGTTTAATTATTGTTGTTCACTGCCCAGGGAGCTTTGGCTATTGGTTGGCATAGAAATAAATTAAATATTACAGCTAAAACTGCAAGGTAAGGGATATTCCTGAGAAAGGTAACTGGTGCATCGATTCCATGGATATAAATATTTCATATCTGCTCACATAATTAATTGTTGCAAGCATTGGAGACTGCAGCTATTCTTGAAAATGGGACAAACATTGTATATATTGGTGTATAAAACAGCTCACATATAAGACAAGGTGAATATTTTGGCCTGTTTTTCTGGTATGTTAGCCCTATAAGATGACTCCCAATTTTTGCTTTGCTGTTTGTGGTTTCAAGGGTCGTCTTATACACTGATATATACAGCACCGCCCAGGGGTGAGAGACCATTTACTTCCTCCATCAGCATTGAAAAGGTTCTCTGAAAAAAGGGGGAGATGCCGCTTCTTTCCTTCTCTCTTTCTCCCTCCCTCGCACTGCAGTACCTATTCTACATAAGGCTACTTGCCACAGACTGTCATGAAAACTCATACATCTTTAAGAATGGCTCATATGTGGCCATATTGCTTAGCGGGAACTACGGAACAGTAGACCTGAGAGTTGCTGCCTCCTAAGAGCACACCTGACTTCTCAGGTGACTCCCACATCTACCTGTTGCAGCAGGTAAGTTATGAGGCTGGCCAGCAGCAGGAGACTATTGGAAGACTATTGTTTGCATCGCTCTCCCATTTAAAGTAAGTGCTACATTCCAAATTAGATCATGTTGAAATTAGATTATGTGGTTACAGCAAAAGCATTGGAGGGCAATTTTTGACCCTTGGTTTACATATTGGTGCCCCCCAAAGCAAAAATGTTCTTTGCTGATGGCTCAGCCATATACATGACCTTCTGAGAAACTTCCAGCAAAATTCAGTGCTGAAATCCCATTTGTTTCCCTGGGAGAGATTTAAGCATATACTTTAATCTCTCCCACTAAAATAAATGTGAGCAATAGCTACATAACTTTGGCTGCATTGTGCCTTTTATTTCTAAGTTATAAAATTAAAAGTTAACTTTCCTCATCAGTTACTCTATTAAAAATCCAAAGTGATGTCCTACTTGTGCAGCGGGGCTCCGAGTTGCTGGCATTCGCACTGGCTGCGACTGCGGTTCGCTGCCACTCAGCATCATCTGTTTTGCTTTGCACCATGCCGCAGATGTTAATGGACTCAAACGAGCACTGGTCAAGGAGGGTCAGGCTGGAAGCTGTGAAATAGGCAAATATGTGTTCTCGTGAAAATACAGCATTTACATTAAAACATGGTAGCAGATCCAAATGTGCCGTAGAAGCCCCCAGGTTCGGGCAGAGACCCACTGCAAGGACACTTGACCACTTTACCCACTGCTTGCAGGCCTGATGTTCCATCTCTTCTACCACAGCCATACATTCACTGTGGCGTCCAGTGGAACTCTCTCAAGAGATGTAGCGACTTTGCAAGTAAGCCCATGCTGCAGCCTCTTATTGCTTTGCTCATCTACGCATGTCAGAGATTCAGCTGAAGTGCTTTGGATCTCCCTGATGGAGCTTAAAGACAGAGGGTCTCCAAACTCTCCCAATCATTTTTGTTGGAACAATGTTCAGTCATTCCAACCTGAGGAAATGAATGAGTGCTGTCCTGTCCGTGTGACTCTCGCCCATATGCGCTTATGACACCAGGCAGAAAGAATTCTGCCCATGTGGATCCAGGATTTATCAAATGCCGTTTAAGGGAGAAAGTGGTCTGAGCCTCCTTTGCACAACCAGGCATTTTTTCAAAATCCCTGACAATGATGCCGATTGCTAATCTTCCCTTTTCTCACACTCTACTCATATTTATTAATTATAATGTATATAACACCTAAATTTCCCTAAGGCTAGTACAGAGATTAAAAGGGCATTCTCAAGCACCAGTCTGCTTTTTCCTGGTGACCAGGTAATAGGTGTACAAGGAAAAACAACATGAATCTTCCAGATAGTGTTGCCATAGCGATTTCCCCAATATTAATACTTCCCTGTATTTCTCTGCTCCCTGTATTTTTGTTACTTTCAGGCATCACACTCAAGTTTTAGAAACAGAGAATTTCTTAGTATCGTTTTGTGGTAATGCTAGAAATTCCTTTGCTGCAAGTGATTCATAACTATCCATCAGTATTGCTCTGGGGCAAGGTATTTGGTTGCCTATACAAGCAGCATACAGCGCACTAATGCAGATTCCCACCTGCTGCTCATGGTTAGAGTATAACAAGAGGCACAAGGTTAGATTAGTCATTCCCAATTTGTGTGTGTGTGTGTATAAAAATATATATAAAATCAGGATTTAAGTACACAAAGAAATATCAACTTACCACAGTTGTACATGCGATTAAGCCTTTCTAGGTCTATTTTGCTCAGATCCTGGCTTTGGCCAATCACATCATTGAATTCAGGAATTTTGGTCGTAATTGAAGGGATGCTGCTGTTTTTGTTGAATGAGTAAGGTCCATAATGCATGACTGATTCATAATCATAGGGGGTGTTTAGATCAGTAATGAAGTCATCATCATATTTGTTGAAGTTATATGCCTGACCTAGGAATAAATACCATTACATTTGTCTTTTAGGAATGGTTCTGCAAGAATTGTCTTCTTATACACGCAAAGGTTTGCCATAGATCTGATTGCGCCACATGCTCTCTGGTTCCTGGTGCCCTGCATGGCTCCATCTTACTCTAAGCTGTTTAACACCTGCTTGCAACCACTGGGAGAGCTAATGTGAGAAACTGGAGTGATTGACACATTTGTCTGCTTTTTATGATATTCCAGCAAGGCCATAGTGGTTCAGACTACTTGGCAGTGAGGTAAGCAACAGACTGGATGGGGGTTCAACACAGTCAAGACAGACAGGCTACTAGGTGAACAGTAGGGCTGCTGCTTCAAGAGGTTTGGGTTCATCTTGGGTTCATCATCCATGGGATTGATGTTCAGTGTGGGTGTGATGTTGGGTTCAAATTTGCTCTTAGTTGGTCAGATGATGGCCATGACCGGAAATGTGGAAACAGCTTCAGTTAGTAGCCATTCCTAAAAAGGTGTATTTGGCCATGTCCTACTTATCGCTAGTTTGGTATGTGCTTTTTGAAAAGAGCTATTGCTGAAACAATGAGAAAGCTGAAATAGTGCAGCATGCAGCCATGACAGTTTCTGCAGGGGCTCGCATTTTGTGTTAGCTTGATTATTTTCAGAGTTCCCTGCCTCAGTCCATATGTAGTTTTGGAGCTGGGTAACTACTGGACTGCTTGCCTGAACAGGCATCAGTTAGGGAGGACATGCCCTTCTCCCATTCCAACTGCCATCAGAGGTTTGGCTGCTGGTGTTGAGAGAGGATCTTCTCAATAGCAGTATCCAGGCAATGGAACATGCTGCCCTGGAAGAACTTGGCATCATTTGACCTTTGATTTCAACAGGCATTTGGCCTAACTGACATTTAGCTGACTTTGTTTTTTTCTCATTCATTTTTTCTCATTTTATCCGCTCTACTACTTGATATTGATAGTTTTACATAACTGTTGTTGATAATAACTTTCAGTGTTTAGCTAAAGGCACTCTGAGCAATTCACAAATTGCAAAAGTAAGATATACATATTTAAAACAAATCAGAAGCATATAAATAGTGAAATCCCAGCATTAGAAATTGTGAGGCCACAGGTATAAGGAGGAAACCCAAACATTACTCTTTAAAAACACCTTTTCTGATTGAGGCAGAAGTTTTGAGGATTCCACCATTCTGCCTTTTAGGCAAGAAAAATACGGAATGTCACACTTAATCTCCCTAACTCTGAAGTGGCAGGGTTGGGAGAGAGATGTAAAAATACATCTGTCGGTCTGCATCCTTCTTGTTCATGTAACAGCAACTCCCATGGCATGGCACTGCTGCGGTAGCCTAGGACAAAATGTCCATGCTAAAGCTGCAATTGCCAGTAAATTCCTACTAAACCAGATTTTAGAAAAGTCTAGAGTTTTGAGATCCAGTTTTAGTACCTAGATGAAGTAATAAGATTTCAAAATGGGCCACAAAATATCTGAAAAGGCCAGATTTTTTAATGTCTTCTCACCATTATTACTTACCATCAATAATTTGTTCCCACCAAATATTAACATAATCATCTCGGTCAGTGCGTGACTGTTCATGATAAAAGCCAAGAGCATGCAGGACCTCATGTTCCACAGTATCCTTATATTCACAACGGGCTCCAATGGAAACATTTTGACCAGTCTGAAAATCACCCACATAAGACCAGCATCTGTGGACATGTCCAAAATCATCTCCCTTAACACAGCATCAAGTACTTGCATCAATTTGGAGTAAGAAGACGAGCCAGATCACAGTGAGGACTATAACAGTTCATTCACTCCAACATACCATGCCGCCTTTCTTATATATACTAGTAATTCAATAAAGTTATTGGTGCTGTCTTATAGAACCAAAGCAGAGTGCCCAATTGCTATTCTATCAGTTCTTATTATGCCAAAAACGATTCATAATTTGCTTGGCTTATTCAGTTTACGCAGTCACTAGTAATTCTCAGCCATGATGAAGTAACCCAGCTCACCCAGTGGAAACATTTTCTGGGGGTGGGATTAGAACCTAATGTCCCAGCCCCTGGGGAACTGCTCTTCATCCCCACCTGAGGAAACAACCCAGCAGAGAATTCTAAGAATAAGTGGATTGCTGCAGTAAAGCCTACAAACCAAGAAAGATGTGTGTTTTTAGTGCTTAGGCCTAATGCTTGCTTCACAGAATTGCTGTGCGTATGGTTCAGCACACAAAGTATGAACCATGCAGTGTGCAGGATGAAAAACAAGGAACTGAAGCATAGCATTGCTTTCAGCGTACTATATGTTTTGTTCTTGATATGGTGCCTTCAGGTGGAACCCTGGGGGCACAGCTCCCTATCTACCATTGAAGAAGGAATGAGATCCAAGCAAAGACACGGAGGTGGGGATGGGCTCCGTGCAGCCACCCTCCCCAGCTGCCTTGGAGACCTCCATGCCCTGCCTGTGATGTCTGTCTGAGGGGTTGGAAGCCACCAGAGCAGCCCTTGAACCATGGAGGAGAAGGAGGGGATGTTCAGGAAGCATCTCTTGCTACGCGTGGGCCAGTCCAATTATATACAGCAAGGTGGCTCCTCGGCCAATGAAAGCTGCTCCCTTGATTAACTTGAATAACAATTGATTAAGACAGCAATCCTGTGCCTACTCACTTAGGAGCAAGGCCCATTCATTTGATGAGACTTGCTTCCAAGTAAACCTATATAGGATTACCCTTTATGTTAGGAGAGAAAACAAGGGAATTGCTCCAGCAGGATTTGCAGATAGATTGTCAGCAAAAAGGAGACAGAAGTCTATTTAACTGAAACTCTCTAGGCTGTACATGAAAATTAAAACCCTAAATACATCATGATAAAACAAAACATATTTAACATATTTAAAAGCTTAAAACAGACTAAAACCAGAGTGAAAAACCAGCAGCAGGGAAAGATCTAAAGGCACATTACCATATGTTTAAAAACAAAGGCCATTTCAATAAAATTGTTCATACATTCTGGTACCTACAGTGAATGTATAACTGGAAAACAGTATTAAGATTGAGCACCCAGTGGCCTTATTGGATTCAGAGTTAAGTTAGATCAAAGGTATTTGCCCAAGTGGACTTTCCTGCCTGCTTCTTCTCCATGCAGATGTTTCAGCCCCTAAAACTGCGACACAAAGGCTAGATTCACACACGACAAGCCTCCAAGAGCTTGTGGAGGGTGTTTACCATGGTTGGTCTGTTGTGTCTTTTGAATCCAGTTGTGGTATTGGAGCATAGGAAATTTGGTTTCCCTGTACTACAAAGGCTTATTGGGCTATCCATGCCCAGGAAGCACAATCCATAATGGCAGGAAGCCAAGAACAAGCAGAGAGCCCGAGGGCGCCACTGATGGCTGCTGCAGGCGTGCAGGGCCATCAGAGGTGCCGCAGTTCCTCCTGCTTCCTGACCCGGGGACATTTCAGGAAAGAAACTGGGCCGTCAGCCAGGTGGTGCTGCCCTGAATGGGGCAATCCTGCTCAGCTGATTGCTCCCCCCACACCCATGCATAAGATGATTCCTCTTACACAGGAGTGGGGAATCAGCTCAGCCACAGCCTTGTGCAGCACCAACCAGCTGATCCCCCCATACCTTTGCCTGAGAGTGGACCAGGCACCCCTGCTGAGGTCACCAGAGCAGCTTCTCTGACCTCTCTGGGATGCTTCAGCGCACCCCGTTTGCACTGTAGAGCCTGCTCAACGGCCATAGCACCCCCAACTCAACTGGCCATCATGGCTTCCTAGAAAGGAGACTCCTTCCTCCCTGCAGTGCCTCCTGGGATACTGCCTGGAGGACTGAGAGGAAAGGAGGTGTGGGTAGGGAGAGAGTAACCACAATGAGGCTGATCTTCATAATAAAAGATGGTGAAATGTGGTAACTGTACAGATAGTTTAATGTGATGATCAAACCCAGCCAAAAAGGCAGGAGGCCCTGCTGAATGGGGTGAACTGGGCTGCATGTGGAGAGGAAGGATCTCATAAATCAGACCGAAGGACCTTTCATTTGCAGGAGACAGAGCTTACAATAACAAATGATTCAGCAAAGCATTCAGGAAGCAGCGCAAGACATTTTCATGTGCATAAGCAAGCATATTCACTTTTATATATTTCACATGATCTCTTCAAACACTAGGCTATTAGGTCATATGGTTAACTGAATTTACCCATCCAGCTTTTCAAATTGGAGATATGTTTTTTCTCCTTCATAAGGTTTGAAGTCAACACAAGATTTGAGTCGAAACATCTCAAATGCCTGCAGGATTACACCTTTAGTATTCAGGTCTGAAAGAGATAAGCAAAATTCTATATCCTCATACATGTAACAGCTAGATTAAGTCTTTGATATTCAGGAAAAAAAGGTAATATTCCTTTGATTTATGAACTGCTTGTACTTTCCTTTCTTTTTCTCTTTTTTTGGCCTAAATTGTATTAAGATAGCAAGAAACATCAGAACTAGTCCAACAAAAATCTCACAGGTCCAGATTATTCCTGTCAAAACAAACGTTTTTGCCTGCCTTCAAAAATCTAACAGGGAGGGCACCAACCTAGTGCCCTTGGAAAGGGAGTCCCAAAGCCTTGGGGTAGATGCCAAGTAGGCTCTCTCCTGTGGTCCCACCAAGTAAGACTGGAGGAGGTGGGACCAAGAAAGCTTCTCCTGAAAATCTTAGGGTATGGGCAGACCCATAGGGGAGAATGGTGTCTTTCAAATAGCCTGGACCCAAGCCATACGGGGCTTCATGGCCCAGCGGGAACACCTTGAATTGTGACCAGAGAAGGACTGGGAGCCAGCGAAGCTGTTTCAGCAAAGGAGTCAGCCCTCCAGCAGCAGCTCTCTGAACCAGCTGATGTTTCTGGATGCTCCTCAGAGGCAGTCCACAAAGAGCACATTACAGCCATCGAAACAGGGTGCAGCTGAGGTACACTGTCACTGCGGCCAAAGACATCAGATGCCTGGGTCCCTGAAGCTGCACATGCGCTTCAAGTGTGCGAAGGCACTCCTGGCTTCCACCAACACCAGGCTCAGGGCTGAGTCCAGCAGTGCCCCCAAGCACAAACCTGTGTCTTCAGGGGAAGCACAACCCCACTCAGCACAGGCTGAATCCCTGTTCCTTGATCTGCTTTCCAAACGACTGGGGGCACCTCTGACTTGTCTGGACTGAGCTTCAATGTGCTTGCCCTCATCTATTCCATGATTGCTGACTGACACTAAAACATCTTCCTTGGAATGTGATAGAAAAGAGAAATAGAGCTGGGTGTCATCAGCCTACTGGTGATACCAAACCCTAAATCCTAGGTAATCTTTTCCAACTTCCAGCTTCATATATAAGCTAAATAACATGGAACCCCAAGGAACTCCACAGATCAACAGCTAAGGAGCCAAGCAGGAGTCCCCCAGGCACCACTTTCTGGGTCCGCCCTTCCAGGAAGGAATGGAGCCACTTTAACAGCACCTCCAATTCCCATCCCATCAAGGTGTCCAAGAAGGATATCATAATCAGTGGTGTCCAATGCCACTGAGAGATCCAGAAAAACCAACAGGGACACACTCCCCCTAACCCTCAAGAAACCATTCAGACCCATCAGAAGATCATCTTAATCAGCCCTCCACCCCTGCAGAGCTTCTGAGCACCAGCAACTCTAACCCTGAGCAGGTCATGATCAGTCCATGACAATGAAACTAGGGAGAGTTCCTGTACACTTAGAGCACTATCATTCCATCCAGTACACACCCAGAGTGTGCCCATCAAGGTGGATGAGGCCAGGTATATCTGGGACAGAGCCATGGTTGTCACGGCAGGCATGAAGCCCTGAACCACTCCTGACAGGGCAAGCTTGGCATGAAAGTTGAAATCCTGCAGCACAACAAGTGGAGGTGTCTCCAACACCAGCCACGGGACTGCCCTAACTAGCTCAGGGAAGGCAACTGTTGGAGGCTAATTACTGAGGCTGCAATTGAACACCTATTTCCCTGGGGGTATTTTCCATCAAAGTCAGGTGAAGTTACTTCTGAGCAGACATGGACTTTAGAACATTCTCATGCCAGTTATAAATCCAAGTAAGGGAAGGCCATTTGTACAATGGACCTTTCCTTCCTCCTCCTTTCAGTCCCCTATGCCTTAAAAAGGCCTCTCCAGAATGGTAGTGTGGTGCCCTCATGCACAGGGCCATTTTGGGCAGTCTTATGGAGCTACAGTGGGGGAAATGGAGGGTTGGTTTAACTGAGACTCCTGTATTGAGCAGGGGGTTGGACCTGGTGGCCTCTGGCTCCTTCCAACTCACTAATTTCACGAAATGGGGGGAGGATAACGTTTAATCAAGAAGTGGGATCTTGCAAGACTCATGTGAGGTGCTTGATGTTGGTGATTCTCTTCTTCTGCTCTATATAATTATAATATAATTATCAATGTTCTGTAGGTCTCTGACTCTCTGGAGAGGCTTTTCAGGGGGTTCAAGATTCAAGGGTGTAGGCAGGAATATGTTGCACAACACTGGACTTCACCCAGTAATCTATGATACCCATCAAAACTGAACAAAGTAATAACAAAGTACCAGTTGGTTAAGGTGCAGAATACAAAAGATGTATTACCCAAGCTGTTGCCCATTATATAAGGAACTGGAAATTTCCACCTGTAGGATGTGTTCCTCAGTGCATTTCTTTCCAGCTGTCAAGCAAATTAAGAATGTGAGCTTTAAAAAATACGTCACTCTTGAAAACCTCCACAAATAATAAGGTCAAGCAAACATACCGGCAAGACGATGTCACCTTCAAAGAATTTGCTTTCTGTTGCTAAAAGGAGATAATTTTAAATAGTCAAAAGTAATATATTCTATCAAAGGATTACTTGCTTTTATTATCTAAATCAAATTCTTTACTTGGCTACATAGAGGAAAATCACTATTTGATCTTGTAATTACTTTTAAGTTTATTTCCAAACCTAACTACACAAACAAACTATGGAATCATGGATTTTCAGTCAAGCAGACTTATTCATTCCACAGTGTAAAAGCTCTGCAGATTTTAAATATGGTTTTTGGAGTAAAAAGAGTGGCCAGTATGTCTATCCTCTCACATTTACCGTTGAAGCAATAATACACACACACCTGCTTTGTTCTCTGCAAGGAGCACACCCTCAAGGGGCTCTGTAGTTCACCCAGTTCTGAACCCGGAAAGGATACGAAGAGCCATGGAGACCGACCATCTAACAAATGGATTGGCTGGCAGGCAGGCAGGCAGGCGGACAGACAGACAGACAAGACACACTACACCCAGTGCTGAAGAGACTGATGAAATTATACTACCAATTTGGCATAGTAATTTAATTGTCTTCTGTGGTCTGACTCAATATAAGACAGGCTCCTACTAGTCCCCAATACCTCACATTTTGTACAACTGCATATCACAATGCTTAAACAAATATATTATTGGCTCAACCATGGGATGAACAGAAAAGTGGGCAGAGAGAGGTAGTTACCGATTTCTTACTCAAATTAATCCTGTCATACTCAGGAACAAACACTAAAATTACTGGAAGATGAACAAGCCAAAGACACTTCTTAATTCATAAACTGCACTTAACACAGTGGGATTGATTTCTGAATAACACAAATAAATGGGGCTGCATTGCCCTTGAGGCCTTTTCCAGAGGCTGAGAAATATATTCTGTTTAAAGTCCTAAACATGATCCCAACTCAGGAAATTATATAATCTATAGAGCAGAAAGCTAAAGAGATCACACATCCTGAAAGCTGAACAATCTTTTTTTTCAGATAAATGTTAGAAAGCAAATGTCCAAAGTATAAACAATCTCACTAACACACACTCGTAAAACTTGATGAAAAAACTGCTGACCCATTATCCCTGAAATTTACTGAATTAGGGATTAGGGAACTGAGCTTTGTCTTTATTAGTCTCATCTAGATTTTGCTTTATTTATTTATCCATTCATTCACATATTTATATGCTGCCTGTAACTGCCAGAATGGCCTCCTTAGGTGGCTCACAGAATAGGTAGTGCAAGAGGGAAAATAGCAAACAATGAGCAGTTAAAAATCTGGCATCAGGTGCTACTAACTGTGGGCTCCTGCGTTTGTATGAGCAAAAGGATAGCAGACCGGGTGAGTCTAGAGCCAGGGATGGGTTCTGACAGATGTGCTACAATCCTGGGCCTGCTTGTCTGGGAGCAAGTCCCACTGAACTCAACGGGAGTTGCATAGGAGCTGATATGGACAGGATGACACTGCACCTTTATTTATACAGCCCCGTCATTGCACAGGGCCCCTTTCAGTGTAACATGAGCAAGAGACAAAACCTGAGGTTAAAGCCTAATTTTGGCAACAAGAAAGACAGCACAGGGAGCGAAGGGCTTTTCTACATGAGGCGATTAATCTGCTGTATCTGCATTCAGGTTCAGTGCATAAGTAAGATCCATGCACTACACAAGGAGCATTTCCCTTCCCCTCTTCTGCTGCATAAGCTCCAGGTGGCACTGAAGCACAAATACAAAATGAATAATTGCATTTTTTTTGCCATCACCCAGGCCCCAATTAGTCCATTTTCTTACTCTACAAACTGGTTTAAAAACAGAAGCAAAAATGGGGGGAGGTTAAAGTATAAATAATTAAGAATGGAAGGGAATACAAGCAGTTGTGTCTGTTGGGGAGCAGGATGACAGAGGAGAAATCTTTCAATCTGGCTCTGAGAATATTCTCTGTAATTTTAGCACGTGGACATGCAGAGGGGCCAAAGAAGAGCTGGACTGGGGCAAGTGTGCAGAGGAGAAATTTGCAGCATGAAAGCAAAGAACAAGTTTCATGAGTCTGGAGACAAAGGGGAAAAGAAAGAGCAGCTTGTATTCAGAATGTGGCAAGAGAGTGGTTTTTTCCCTCACTAGGGGAGACTGAACTCAATAGAGAAGGAAGTGGAGAGTAGCTGATTTAACCTGAGGTCCAAAAGAGCTGTGACTCTACATCCTATCTAGCAGCTACATTTCTGTAGATCCTACTCTCAAGCAAACATAGGATGGCAGCCATAAACTCTCTATTTAAAGCCTTCTGTAGGCATTGCTGTTAAACAAGTGACATCTTAATCTTAATTCACCATGCATAAAGAATGATGCACATGCATTAGGAGGAAGACGAAGCTAAGTACTAACTCTCTGAGCCTGAAGGATCAAATTATTTACATATCTACATATCTCCCCCCACTCCAGTAAATTTGCTTACCTGTATTGATTTCTGGGATGCCCCATCTTGGTTCTCCTCCATCTAAGGTGGGCAGTACTAAATGGATAAACAGGTGTTATAATATCAAGATATGTACTTCTTTCCAGACAATTATTTCAATTTCTGCATCTCACCATTTCAGAAATGGATTAAGATTCATAGTCTGGCATACCTTCATTGTTGCCTGTCCTTCTGATCTGTAATGGCAAGAGGAAGCTTTAGAAACCCAAACAGAAACAAGCAAGCAGAATACAATCTTGGCTTTACATTGTCAGAAAATATCAAGAATATTAACTTACTGTAAAGGTAGATGATGTTGCGACCAGTGCTGCCAGACTGAGAAGCCCAAACAAAGCCATCTTAGAGGCTTCTGGCTGTCTGACTGAGGGTACCCATATAAATAGCCTATACAGTATATGCAGTTGGACTTTATACACAATTTCAAGATGTTCATTAAGAATGAGTCAACCATAAGTTAATGTTTAAGCCACCCTCCAATTTCTTAATGATATCCCCTAGTTCTTTAATGATCCTACCCACAGTTCACTTAAATTTAACTTTCATTAAGTTTCTTTTGCATTATGCTTCTCTCAGAGGTATCAGTCCACACTTATTCACATGTTAGAGCTAGAAATATGTATGCATTTCTTTTGTGTGCAGTTTTAATCATGGGCAATCCTATGCTTATTCCATTCTCAGTATTACACATAGAAATGCTAAATGTAATCCTAAATTTCATATAAATCATGCCTGACAAAACTGCAGTAAACACTAGAGACCGCTCCGCCTGTCTTGAAGATCAAAAGCAAATAGGAATGAGCAAACAATGCACACGTTCACTGAGAAAGCAGGGCAACCAGTAAGAACTGTTTGAAATCAGAAGGGTAACAATGGCATTGTTGTCATTAAAGACATGGGTTGTAGGACCAATTTGAAAAATGTTGGTCCACTTAGGAAAAAATCCCAAAAGAGTAGCAACACATTTTTGTAATTGCCTTGTGGTGTACCCAAATGCAGATATGAAAGGCACAGCAGTGAATGGCAGCTGCACAATATAATGGAGGACGATCCATAGCTAAGGGTGGACAGCCCTGAAAAGGCTCACTTCTTCGAGCCACCTTCCTCACCACATGTGGAAGAGGGCCTCTGAAGGTGATCTCTGAGGCCAGGCAGGCATATACAGCAGATGTGCCTTCATCTGGCTAGCTAGTTTAAATGGTTGGCAGCACCACTTTGAACTGGGCCTGGAAGCATGTAAAGCTCGGCCCAGTGCTCAGTGGTGATCGAAAAAGGCAAAACAGGACAAAACATCGCTCTAAACTTATTTAGCTTTAAAATTTAATCCCATGCCAGAATTTAGCTTTATTAAATCTGGGCACTATCAAAAATCTCATTTTTCTGTATTTGGGAGAGAAGCAGTGTTTTATACTGTAGATAGGGGCAAATGCCTTAATCTGAATTTGCAAGGGAGTACTCTTATTAAATGATTGCACAGCATTCAGTAAACTCCCCAAAATGTGTCAAGGATGCGGTGCTCGTTGTTGGAAGAACTGAAGACTGGGATTGATAGACTTTGCTCTCAAGGTAAAATTGCTTTGTTTTGTTTTGCCTTCAGTTTCTTTTTAATTATTTTTTTGCTTTTTTATTTCTTTTTGTTTGTTCATTCCTTTTACTTATTAACATGAATTTATTCCTAGGTGTTATGCCATTTGTCTTCATATGCACAAACCAAGTGATTTCCAAAGAAATTAAAGAAATGAAAAACAGAAACTTTCCTTCTATTTAACGATAGTAGCTGTCAGATTGATTCATGCAAAGCACTAGAAAGCAAAACCAGAGCTACTGATAGTTCATTTGGAATATGTACTTCATTGAAATAAATGAAGGCCACCCCCATCTTCAATTCTTAATGAACTGAAGTATACAGAAATTAATAAGGCAACTGTGTGCTTTCTCCAGAAGGAGATTTTATTTATTTATTTATTTATTTGGAATTTTTGTATGCTGTCCCATTTGCATAATCCCTTGGGATGGCTTTTATCATCATAAATAAACAATTGTACAGATAAATACATATAAAATCTGGATTCATCCTGGCTAAAAATTTAAAACCAATAAATAATATTAATAATTATTAAAATATTGTTTAAATAAAAAGGTCTTGGCCTGGCACCAAAAAACAAATAACGACGACACCAGGTGGACCTCTCTGGGGAGCACATTCCATATGTGGGGCGCCACCACAGAGAAAGCCCTCCTCCGGGTACTTTGCCTCCTAATGTCTTTCACAGAGGGTTCCCGGAGGAGGGCCTCTGCTGCCCATCTCAGGGGGCGGGAGGGCAAATATGGAAGCAGGCGTCCCTTTAGAGATGCAGTGAAAGAGTCTGGCAGCTGACAATGACTGTCCCTCCCCTGGCAACATACAAACACACATTCAGTAACATCAAAATGGCAAACAGACCCAACAACTTTGGAAGAGTAATCATGCTACCTGAACCAGTTCTGTCACAAGTAGAAGAGAGGGGAGATATAGTGGGATTTTTACTGTCCTGGACTCCATCATAGTTGCCTGATTTTAATATCAATGCAGCTCATTTTGAAAGGGCAACAGAACCCTTGCTTTACTGTCAGCAAAATATGATATTACCCTGCAAAGATATGCTATCATCCTGCAGTTTGTGCAGTATATGCTAAGAGATGCAATATAGGAGGAAGTGTAGAAAGAGCTGTGCAAGCTACAAATGCCACAGTGAAATGCCCTCTGTATAGCCTTGCTAATTCTGAGTCCAGAAATTTTGCAAAATTTTATTTACTACATTTATAACCCTACCCTTCCTCCTGCAAGGAACGCAGGGCAGCTCACATTGTCTTCCTCCTCCCCTATTAGGTAGCTGAGGTGAGAACCACTGCTTGGCCCAAAGTGAGCTCCAGGGCCATGCAGGAGCTAGCCCAGGCCTCCTGACTCCCAGTCTAACACTCGCGGCACTGTACTGCACAGGATCTTGAGTTCTGTATTGACCTTGAGCTAATGTGGTTTTCCACTCAAGTAACATGATAACAAAGTGATCTTAGGCAAGACACACTGGGTTTAAACAACACTTTTAACCCCTTGAGAATTTTAACCATGCACTGTGGTTAAAATTCCCATGTGCACAACAGTTTATCCTGGGCCTGTATTTTCCTGCCCTCTCCTTCCCCCAGACCTCCAGAGAGGGAGTGGCACATATCCCAGGGGGCTCTGCAACAGGAATAGTGTCCTGTTTTTATCATTAGGGTTCACGTGTTTTTGCTCACTGGTCCATCACTGAGATTGCTAGTAGAGTTTTTCCTATGGGTCTGCTTTGTGTCCAGGGCTTGTATACCTTTTCCCCCAAGACTCCAACCCATTCACGTAGCTCACAAACCTTTCTCAAACCTCTGCAGGACTGCAGAAAGTTTCTCTTTTCTCCAGCCAATCTCCACATGAGAAAGACATCCCCTGCACCACACTCTTCCCTCTTCTGCTTACTCTGAGGCATGGGGGCACTTCAGTTCAGCAAGAAAAGAAGACATAAGTCACACACTTGCACACATCTTCTTCACTCAGGCTCTGCAAGTTTCAGCCTGAGGCCTGTCTTTCTCCACATTGGGAAGGTCAGTAAGCATCCTTCCAAGCACCTCTCTCTCTTTCCATGGCTCCACTGAGATTTGATTTTGGGAACTGCAAATAGGCTATTCCTTATGCATTCAGACTATGTTTCACAGGCAAGTGAAACCACAAAAAAGTGTGCACACACAGAGAGGTTAGAAGACCATATGCAAAGTGCATTTCCTTCCAAGTCTCTTCAGAGTGCAAGTCAAGTCCCTGACTTAAACCAGCCCTGATAGTTGTTCAAAATACACATGGATGTCTTTAGACAGGTCATTTAAAAAAATCTATTCCCTTGAACGAAGTGGGGTCAGTCCACTCCACAGAATATGAGGAGCCATATCTAGGAAAGATCTGTTTCATCATGATTTTCAAATGGACAGACTCCGAATCTCTTGTGTATACACCCCATTAACAGGACTGTGATTTACTTATGTTGGCAACTTGTTGTATATTTGCACACTCTGAACACTTGGTTTGGTTTTTGTCTACATTTTTACATGCTTGTAAATGCAGGGATGCAGGTGGTACAGTGGTTTAAATTGCTGTGCTGCTGGGCTGGTTGATCAAAAGGTCGCTGGTTCGAATCTGCACAATGGGGTGAGTTCCCGTTGCTCTGTCCCAGCTCCTGCCAACCTTGCAGTTCGAAAGCATGCAAATACAAGTAGGTGAAAAGGTACCACTGCGGTGGGCAGGTAACAGCGTTCCGTGCACTTTGGTGTTTAGTCATGCCGGCCACATGACCACGGAGACTGTCTGCGGACAAATGCTGGCTCCCTCGGCTAGGAAACGGAGATGAGCACCGCCCCCTAGAGTCAGGCATGACTGGACGTAACGTCAAGGGGAAACCTTTACCTTTTTAAATGCATGTAAACACATAAGTGAATGGTTTCCTATAGGCAAAGGCATCAGACATGGATGTATTATATTTTCCCTTCCTATCTGTTCACTCTGTGTGCAGAACACATCATAAAGAAAGGTGGATTAGGGAGGTGGAAGGATCCGTACTGGGCATGGGAATCCACTGGGTTCCCTGGGCTCAGCTCCCCAGATTCTGGTCTGCTTTGTCACAGTCCTGGGTCCAGGTTCTTGATGAGCATTAGCAGGACGCTGCCAGGCTGGGAGCTCCCCATGCTGTGCAAGCAGCATCCACACCACATGCAGCAGCCTTTTATGGTGCTGCGCCTGAAGCAGAAGAGGGGTGCTGCTTGGGCAATGGCCATGGGGGCTGCATTCCTGGCCAGACCTGTGCGACCAAGCAGCATCCTTGCTGTGGAAACATCACTGCTGCACCTGATGTGGAAAAAGGATGTGCTCACCAGGGACAGAGTTCCAAATGACCGCTGCATGAGTAGCGCCCCTCTTCTGTGCCACCCGCAGCAGCCTTTGTGCAGCTGCCCCTGATGTGGGGGAACGTTGCTGGTTGTGCAGTCTTCATTCTGCAGTCAGTCGTGGACTTCTTGCAGCTCACTGTGCAAATCTGAGCAGGGCATGAAAGGAAGAGGGTGTGGGGAGGGTGGATTCCAGTTGTTGTTTTTAGTCGCAAAGTCACGTCCGACCCATTGCGACCCCATGGACAACATTCCTCCAGGCCTTCCTGTCGTCCACCATCCCCCGGAGTCCACTTAAGCTCACACCGACTGCTTCAATGACTCCATCTAGCCACCTCATACCCTGCTGTCACGTTTTTCTTTTGCCATCTATTCTTCCCAGCATTAGGCTCTTCTCCAG